CCCTTGAGTGCCACCGGCTGTGGCCCTGTGAGTTCAGTGCCAGCCATAGCACTGAACCTGCCTGGTGTACATTAGATGGGATGGTTTCCAAGCACCCCAAGCTTTTCGGGGATGTAACCCCTGCAAAAAAAAAAAGTCGGATGAATTCAACCTCCAAAAGAGCTCCTGAAGGTCTGCTCCAGGGCTTGGAGGTCGGCCTCACATGCTGGGGGAAAAGGCAGCTCAGATAGAGAAGGGAACACCAAGTAAAGGTTGTTTGGAGGACTCTCTCAGGATGCGAGATGCATGCTGAAAGTAGACTGTAGACCGAACACGATGACCTCTCAAAACATCGATTGCAAACTACAACACCCTAAAGGAAAGAGTGAGCAAAAGGGAATGCCCTGCCACAGAGTCTGGGTGGGGGAGGGGGAATGGGTTGTGGGAGTGGGAGGGCTACTGCGGTCATTGGTGGTGGAGAATTGGGACTGGTGGAGGGATGGGTACTCGATCATTGCATGACTGAAACACAAGCACAAAGGTTTGTTAGTATAGAACTGTACCTCATGGTGATTCACTAATAAAAAAATAAATTTTAAAAAAAGCTCCTGAGAACTTCCCATTTAAAAATAACTTAATTACCAGGTTTCTTTTTTTTTTTTGGTGACTGGACACTTTCCCTTCCCTCTTCCTCTGCTAGCCCTCCCTTTATCCAGCTGCCTGTCCTTCTTTCTGCCCTCCCCTGCTGTAATACAGTACCATCTCCGTTATTTCTACTTTCACCAAAGTTACTATTCTCGTGGTATATATTTGCACTAGAATACCATTTTTATTTTTTATTTTTTTATAAAGGGGCCATTTCCATCTGGCCAGGCCTAGGATGCTCAGGAACCATCAAAGTTACACCCACTGGTGCTCAGGAGAGGAGGCAGGTGGGGGTCTCACTCATGCAAGTCCTGTGTTCTGCCACTTGAGTCACTCTCCTGGCCTTACAAACACTCTTTTTAAAGCCAGGATAAAGGTTTCCTTCACAGATCTCCCTGCTTTCATTGCTGACCCAGTAGCCCTTTCTTCCACCAAAGAGCTTTTTTAAAAAACATTTTTTTAACCTGCTATTTTTTTTTAATTAAATCATCGTGAACTGCAGTTACAAAACTTTCACATTGGAGTATCGATCATACAATGATTGAACACCCATCCCCCCACCAGTGCACATTTTCCATCACCAATGTCCCCAGTATCCCTCCCCCAACCCCGTCCTACCCCTCCCCCTGCCTCTATGGCATACAATTGCCCTCTTTCTCTCTTTACTTATGGGTATTATGGTTCAAAATACAGATTACAGATAATGAGAGGCAATCACGTTTGGTCCTTTATCTACTTTCAGCACACATCTCCCATCCCGAGCAATTCCTCCAACCATCATTGACTTAGTGATCCCTTTCCTATCCCAGCTGCCTTCTCCCCCAGTTCATAAGGCACCAAAGGGATTTTTAAAATTATGTCAGATTGTATATTAGAACATCTCTGAAGTTCTTCTCATTGCACTCAAAGGAGGGGCTCAGCTCTAAGACCTCTGAGTGCTGTTTGACCCAGTCAGCACCTAATCCTCTGCCTATTATGATTTTTCTCAGTCCCACTGTGGATTATCCTTCGTCATTATTCAGTCTCTGTCAGTTCCTCGGACAAGCTTTTACTACACAGTCACCCAGACCCACCAGTTATTTGAACATTTTGAGCATTCTTAATAACATTTCCTCCTTCACTAAATCTCAAGCCCCTGTTAACAGAGAGTGAAACCACTTTATGGGTGAGTTATATAAGTGGTCTGGCAAATTAGAAAATTCTCATTAGTATAGATTCATTATCTATACTAGTATATACTGTATATATTATCTATATTATTACAATATATAATCTATAAAGTATAGATTCATTATCTATTTACTCATTTATAGATAATGACATCATCAGTGTCATTCACTGAAATGAAGTGACAAGTGAATAGTCCATTATTGTAAAGTTATTGGTGTTCTTGCTACCATGCCTCATTCCTATTTCTTTCCCCTCTTATTTTGGATTAGAACACTGATTTTGTGAAGAACTCATCAAACCCCACTAAAGTTAGTCCCGAGTACCAGGCAGGCTCATCACAAGCAGATGATGAGAACGGCTGCAGGTCAAAGCTACGGTCACATACAGACCAACAAGTTCTTTTAAATGTCCGATCTGAGTGCATTTATATTAACTGCCAAAGGGAGCTGCTATCACATGCCACCAGGGTGTCACAAAATTTCTGGCAACCTACGATTATCAATGGGATGACTAGCTCAATGCCTTGCTCTTGGTCTATGTCTTCTTATGGATCTTTTATTGGACTGATCTTTATATCTACAGAGGACAAAAAGCAGAGACTATGGAATTGCCTGAAAAGCAGGAATTTTTTTTCTTAATGTAAACATGGTACAACAGTGGACACTGACTTTCCATAGTCCCAGAATTGTAAACATGGTACAACAGTGGACACTGACTCTCCATAGTCCCAGAATTCAAGTTTTAACTGAAAGGGATGTAGAGTTGATTGTCAGCAGAAAACTGAAAGCCGCAGGTCATTTTCAACAGGACCAGTACTGACCCCTGGAGGGTGTTTGGAAGATCTACAGGGAGTCTTTGTAAGCGTTCACAAGGGAAGGTTGTAAGTGGACTTCTGTAAGCAGCAAGAAGATCTGTTCTAAGTTTGCAATGATCAAGAAAATGTCAAGCACAAATAAGGTCCCATGTTCTACCTCACATGATGTTCTAACATTACATCATAAGAAATACACAGTAAGTATAATTTCAAGCATTTTACCTGTAGTGTTATTCAAAACTTTTTTGTGTAAAACAACTATGAATAAAGTTGTCACCAAGAATATTTAAATTCAATTAAGATGTGATTTAAAACTTACTCAAGGATTCACTTTCTACTCCCAAAGTGTCAAGTTAAGACCATGTATTTCCAATAATTTATTTTATACTTAGGGATTTAAGTTTTGAAAAGCAAGCACAAGACAGAAAAGATCAAGAACTTGAAGATGAAGATAAATATAACTACTGAGTGGAATAAGGAAATATTGTGAGTTTTATAAATTTCTTTTTGTTTGGGACCACACTCAGCAATACTCAGGGACTGCTCCTAGCTCTATGCTCAGGGGTCACTCCTGGTGGGCTCAAGGAACCATATAGAATGCCTGGGACAGAACCCAGGTTGGCCACATGCAAGGCAAGTACCTTATACTATGTACTATCTCTTCAGCTTCTTGTTTGATATTTTTCTAAGACTTTTGTTTTGCTTTTTTCTTTCATGGCCATAACTGATGATCCACAGGGCTTACTCTTGCTTTTGTGCTCAGGAATTCCTCCTGGTGGTGCTCATGGGACTCTATGAGATGCCAGGGATAGAACTCAGCTCAGTCGCATGCAAGTCAAAGACCTGACCTGCTGTACTATCTCTCTGGTCCCTAAGACTTTTCTAAAAATATTTCACTGCCAATAATATTGCCCATGGAATTTAAGCTGCTAATTAGATACCCAAAATCACTCTTATAGCTGCACTTACAACTGATTATAACAGATGATTTAACACATCTGAAAAAGTGATGTCAAGAAATTAAATCCAATGTCAAAGTACTTTTTTTCCTTTTAAAATTTCAAAATATAAAACCAAGGAGCTCTTGACTGTGAAAATTACATATATAAATGCATTGATTTGGGTCTTGTACCTCAGACCCTGAGTTTTACCCCATGTTTTTTTTTGCCAGTCATCTTCTTTCTCCTGCTGTCAGTTATAGGATGTATCTAAGGAACAGAAGCCAAATACACCTCAAGGCCAGACTGTGAAACGTAGAAGAAGCATTTTTGTGACACATAATTTTGTGATGCCCATTTCATAACTACTTGGATACAAGTTTGAGTTCAACGCAAGATTATTTTACTTTCCTTATTTTCTCTCATCCACAGTTGACTACTTTTCTTGGCATGTTATCTCAGCTTTAATTAAATTGACGTATCTTTTTCTCCCATTCTATGAACATATGTCTAGTTTTCTATTCCATAACCTACCTTTGGAGTCCTTCAGACTGATAGTAGCTCATTAGGTACTATTGAGAATTTGCTAATTTATTTATGCATGCTTTTGTTCCTTTATTTTTAATTTTAGTTTTTTTTTTTGAGTCACCGTAAGATGCAGAGTTACAAAGCTGACCATGCTCGGGTTTCAGACAAAAAGTGTTCCAACACCCATCCCTCCACCAGTGTACATTTCCCACCACCAATATCCCCAGTTTCCCTCCTGCCACCTTCCCTCCAGCCTGTCTCTGTGGCAGGCACTTTCCTTCTTTCTGTCTCGGTCTCTGTCTGTCTGTCTGTCGTCTCTCTCTCCCTCTGCTTTTGTTTTTTATATGAAAGAGTTGATTCATTTCTTCCTTGTAAACTCAAATTTACTCATTTTGTTTATGTGTGGGCATCAGGCAATCCGTTATTACATTAGAATGACTATATTTGGACATAATACATAGGGTCCATATTATTTCATTAGGAATTTGTTTTCTTATCAAAATCCTAATTATGCTTGAAGTAGGATATCACATTAATTGAAAACAAATATGTGGGTTTTTTTTATCTATTGCAATTCAAAATGTAAAGAGAACATTACATAAATTTATAGGAGAAGGGAATGATATCTGACAGGGTTGAGGTTACGTCACTAGGTAATCTCTAAGGTTCTTTTATCTCCTAAGTCCTGAGGCCCCTTGCTTCCTCTAATCTCCCCAAGACTGGTGAACTCTCCTCTGCCTTCATAGCAAACATTCCCAGGAACAAATATGGAGTCAAAGCCGTCCTTTTGCAGTACAAATGTGTATGTTGCAGTTACATCGAATATTTTTCTATTTTTTTCATAGAAATGAAAAGGCGTCAATCAAGAGATGCAAACATTCTCTGACCCAACAAGATGACTTTCCCCTGTGTGCACACACTCTTACCTAATTTGACCAGGCGTAGCTGGGATGTATTACTGCCTCTTTCTGTGCAAGCAGTTACTGAGAGGTTGTAGATATCTCCTGGTGGCAGGCTGAGTATCGAAGTCATGACATTGCGTGTTACCTGCACAGCAGAGAAGAGAAGGCTTTGAACTGCTACTAACCCAAACTAGAACACTACCCAAGTGATTCTAGAAAGATTCTTGCTCTTCTGTCCTGCAGTCTACAAGTGATTACGACTATACATGTGTTATTTGATATGAAAATGTTTCAAATTCTTCAATTGAGTCAAAAGCAAGGTAGCCTGTTGCCTGCATACAACACATTTTAAAATGTAATTTTTTTTAAAAGTCCCTTATTTGATCAGTTATGACATATACTTCCTCATTCACGACCTATTTTAGAAAAGACATCTCTGGCTTGCTATTTTCAGGTTCATTGCTTAGCTCTAGTGGAGAAGCTCAGAAGCAGCAAGGCATCCTAGACCCCTGGCTTTTGGGGGGAAGGGGCACATCTGGCAGTGCTCAGGGGCCAAACCTGGCTGGGTGCAGGTGACCATAGGTGGTGTCAGGATTTGAACTATTATTGCTGGATGCAAGCCAAGTACCTTAATGACTGTCCTATCACTGTGTACCTGCACGTGGCATTTTTACTAAAGAACCTTATTTACTTATTTTTCAGCCTCCGCTATAGCAGGTGTGGAACATGCAACCTGGTTCTAACCAACAGATGCTAAGCGGAAGTTGGCCGGGCAACTTCTTCAGTTCATAGCCTCTCTGTGCTAGGTCTCTACATCCTCTTGGTCACCTTCTGGAGTATGCGTGGGACAGTGATGAAGGTTCAGCCATGTGGATGAGGATGAAGCAGAGGGACAGATTAAGCAGGTTGGAAGAAGCTGGGTCCCTGGATGATGCCTTACAACAGATGTGCCTTATGAGTCCCTGACTAATGTGGGAAAAACAAAAACTTCATGTTCTTCGAGTCACTACCTTTCCTAGTTCTTAAAAACTCATTACAGTAGTTTAGTGTGTGTCCAATAACACAGTGTCAAAAAGCATAATACCTCTGGAAAGAAAGATGGCGGCCGCACGGGAGCCTTGTGGAAAGCAGGTTTGAGCCGGGGCTGGCGGGAGCGGCAGGGACCTCATGGGAAGGGGGGCTTTGTGGGCCGTCCCCCACGCCCCACCGAGGTCGCCAGCTGCCCCCCACGAGCGGCTCTCCGGCACGGCCACGACTCCAGGGCACAGAAACCAATCTCTTAACTAGCTAACTTTTAATAGAAATTCTTCCAGGGTCAATAAGTAAAATAGCAGAAATTCAAAACCGTGCGGCCACTTAAACCAAGTTGTAGAAAGCAAATCATTTCACAACGCTGTTTCAGCATGTCTGATTGTGGGGGGTGGGTCGTAAACTCTAAACAATAATTGTGCATCTTCTATCGAAATAATCTATCTAGTCAAAGTAGATAGAGTATTAACTAGAACTCATCTGCCTCACAAGAATTGGGAGGGGTGGGAGGTGGGGGTCTATTGGGGTGCGGGGTTAAAAATGAGTATTGGTAAAGGGAAATGTGTTTGGTATCTACATGACTGAGACCTAAACCCAAAAGTTCTGTAACTTTTCCCACAGTGATTCAATAAATAAATAAATTATAATAAAAAAAAATAGTGGTGTGCCATGCTAGGGGAAAAGGCAGCTCAGATAGAGAAGGGAGCACCAAATAAAGGGTGTTGGGAGGATCCTCCCAGGATAGGAGAAGCATGCTGAAAGTAAACTATAGACCAAACATGATTGCCACTCAATGCCTCTTTTGCAAACCACAACACCCAAAAGGAGAGAGAGAACAAAGGGGAATGCCGTGCCACAGGGTGGGATAGGGGAGATGGGGGTGGGAGGGATATTGGGATTCGTGGTGGTGGGAAATGGGCACTGGTGGAGGGATGGGTATTTGGTCATTGTATAATTGAAACCCAAGCACAAAATTTGTAAGTCTACAACTGTACCTCATAGTGTCTCACTAATAAAAATAAAAATTAAAAAAAAAAGCATAATAAACTAGGAGAAAAACGTTCAGCAAGGTGGGGCCCGAGAAAGACAGAGTACAGAAGGTTAGGCTTCTTTTTGCCTATGGCCATGCATATGGCCACAATGGCTAACATCCTGGATAGGATCCTTGGCACACCATATGGCCCCTGGACACCATTAGGGGTCATTCCTGAGTGCAGATCCAGGAACAGCCCTTGAGCATCACAGGGTGTGACCCCCAAACAACAACAATAACAAAAACTCACCATACCCGATCTACTCAATTATTTAGTTGTTAGAGGTCTATGGAGAAAGATCTAAATACATCTACTCTGGTTTTCTTGAAAATGCTTGTCATCCTGAAGAGAATGCTGAAATCATAACTCTAAAACAAAGTCAATAATCAATACTATAGTTACAACTCCTGTAACTCACAATCAAAGATTAAAAGGTAAGCTCTGTGAAAGGAGGAATTTGATATTTGTTCATTGTTCTATTTCTACAGCTCAGAACAGCTCTGACAGACAGAGTTTGATAGACACTTATTTAATATCTTGATAAATATTTGCTTAATGATTTGCAATAGCTGTACAGATCTGTTTGGATGTCCTACTCTGAAATTTAAGGAAACATACACTCTTTTTAATTTTTTTCTTTCCTTCAGCAACAACCATCCAATGCAACATTCTAGAATGGGAGAGATCAGTTGTGTCATCCCCATATGTCCAGCTAATATATAGCAGACTGTTGAAATATTCCACAGAAGTGATTTCTGGAGCAACAGGAGCTGTGAAAAAGGAAAGAATGCACGTCAGCATATCAGAGTAAAAATTCTTGAAGTCTTTCTCATTAAAGCATGCCATGCCTTAGAGTGAATTTAAGGAACTAATATATTACTGCATGATGCTCCTGGGGTCCCCTGGCCCCTCTGGGTGGCCTGGAGGAGGCTATGGTAGAGAGAAGGCATCAGTTTTATGGGAGCCACATGGCACAGCCAGATTCATGTAGTACAAACAAAACAAACAAACACTGTCCTCTCGTTGTTCATCGATTTGCTCAAGCAGGCCCAGTGAGGTCTCCATTTTGAGACTTGTTGTTACTGTGTTTGGCATATTGAACATGTCACAGGTAGCTTGCCAGGCTTTGCCATGTGGGCGAGATACTCTCAGTAGCTTTCCGGGCTCTCAGAGAAGGGCGGAAGAATCGAACCCAGTTCAGCAAGGCTGGCTGCGTGCAAGGCAAATGTCCTACTGCTGTGCTATCGCTCCAGACCTCATGTGGTACATTCAGGATAAATGAAGGCATTAAGGTCTTATTTACAAATTTTGTAATTTGCAGAATCTTAGAATGTCTGCTTGTTTTGTATGCTTGCTGTGACAATGTCATTAGAAATTGATAACCTTATTTTTCAAGCGATAGCACAGCGGATAGGGCATTTGCCTTGCATGCAGCCAACCCGGGTTCGACTCCTCCGCCCCTCTCAGAGAGCCCGGCAAGCTACCAAGAATATCCCTCCCACACAGCAGAGCCTGGCAAGTCCCCCCACGTGGCATACTCAAAATGCCAAAAACAGTAACAAGTCTCACAATGGAGATGTTACTGGTGCCCACTCAAGCAAATTGACGAACAATGGGAGGACAGTGCTACCGTGCTACATTTTCCAAGCAGTACCTAAACTTTGGAGTCATATATTTTGTTGTGGCAAAGATATTTATGGGAATATAGTCATATCAAGGAATAAAACGACAGGATAGGCTGGAGAGATGGCACAGCAGCAGGTAGGGCGTTTGCCTTGTCTGTGGTCCAAATTGTGTTTGATTCCTTGCATCACATATGATTCCCCCAGCCCACAAGGAATGACCCCTGAGAGCAAAGTGAGAAGTAAGCTCTGAGTACCATTAAATATAAACAAAAACGGACAGGACACATTCTCACAAATGACAAGGTAATGTCACTGACTGTCTCAAAAGTTGAAGCAAGAAGGGGAAGGAGAAGCATGTTCCTTTCATACACCACAAAGCTAAATTCTCTATTATAAAAGATCTTATTGATTTCTTTTGGATTATTACACATTTACATTTAGTTTTATCCCAGTTTGAGGGCAGTTTTTCAGAAGTTTTCTGCATTCTGAAAGCATATTTGGATTAATTTCAAAGTACTGTATAATTCTGAAAACTTAAGAAACTACATGAGAATTTAAATCCCAGTACATACTGGTTTAAACACATTCAATTCAAGGATTCAGCAGAACAAAGTATTTGGAGGATAATTTATACAAACAATAAAGAATTATTTTCTTAAATATGGCACTCACTAATAGAACAACTATTTGTAGCTGTGGTTTCAATGTGTCACCAATGATTTATGACACAAAAAAGTAAAACACATGCTTCTTCTCAGGTGAAGTGGAGATGACATTTATATGTTTGAAAGTACAGTCTTGAAATACCTACCATGTATCTAGCAAGTAATACAAATCCACATCATTTTTCAGAGTATTCTAAGAGAATAATAAGCTTACCTTCTTTAATAACTTCTTATCATGTTTCTGTGTATTTCAGTATATAAAGTTCCTCGGACATATATTTCTTTAAGGACTATATTTATGCGAATTTGAAAAATCTTATTGAAGCATCATGATTTACAAAGTTACTCATAGTTGAGTTTTAGATGTACAATGTTGTACCACTGATTCCACTACCAGTGTCAAGTTTCTCCACCAATGTTCCCAGGGTCCCTCCATGATCTCCCCCTGTTCTCCTTCTCCTTCCAGCCTGCCCTTTTGTCTGGCTCTTCTCTAAGTTCGGTTGTTAAATGTGCGCTTTCTTGCTTTCTGTGTTGACTCTGTGGTTTAGCTATTTGACTCTATCATTCCTTAACGCCACCTTTGTACCGTAACCCCGTGACCTGGCCCCGGTTACTTCTCATCTGTCAAAGACTATTTTTGCATGTTCTGATTCTCACGAGGACAAGAAACGTTTAAAATTGCAAGGAGGTGAAAATGTCTGCCTTAAAATTTTTATATTATGTGTTGCGTTAAAACCCAGCAGATTGCTGAAGGACCACGAGGGGGCACTGTTTCTTCATTAAACAGGAGCACAGTAAGCATGACTTTCCTTGGAGATAGGAAAGCAAGCAGCCTAACAAGGAAAACAGAATTGAGATCTGAACAAGCCCCACCTTATTCAAACATTTTACCCTTATTTCTTTGAATACTATACACTTCAGCAATTTCAATTACCATAGAAATTGAAAGCATGGGAAAGTAAAATATGAGATCTTTGCTTGGCATGTAAAATGCTACAGGGTTTAAGGTGTCTGTTTGCATTGCATGTGGCAGACCCCAATTTGATTCCTAACACTAGGGAATATGTTCCCCTGAGCACAGAAGCAGAAAAAAATTGAAATGGAACTGTTAGAAGAAAGGCATGCCTCCTGTACTAAAATTTCAAATAGTTCAGAAAGTATAAAAATAAAAGTCAGATATTAGTATGAGTCATGTAATCTAATTTAATTCTCATAGCAATACAGCTGTTGTACCCATTGTTTAGAAGTAAAAATTGAGATTCTGAGTCAGTAGACTCAGATAAAATCATAGAGCACTAAGATCACAAATAATAAAACAAAATTAATTACTTTGTTCGGAGGGGCACATCTGGTGATCTCAGGAGTTACTCCTGATTCTGCACTCAGGAATTCCTCCTGGCAAAATTATGGGACCATATAGGATTCCGGGGATCAAATTCGTGTCAGCTGTGTGCAAGATAAGCACCCTATCAACTATACTATAGCTCTGATCTCAAATTTTATTTATCTACTTATTGCTTTTTAGGCCACATCCAGTGGTGTTCAGGGCTTAACCCTTGGCTCTACACTCAGGGATCACTCCTGCCAGGGCTTGGGGGACCTTACTGGGTGCCAGGGTTTGAACACAGGATGGCCATATGCAAGGAAAGTGACCTACTACACGTACTATGACTCCAACCCCTTTTTATTTATTTTATTTATTTGGGGTGGTTGGCAGGGCACACCTGGCTGTGCTCAGATCTCACTGCTAGCTCTGCAGTCAGACGTCACTCTTGGCTGGGATGATTGAGGTGCCGGGGACTGAATCTGGGACAGATGCGTGCAAGGCAAGCACCCCATCTGCTGTACTATCTCTCTGGCCTCACACCAGATTTTGTGTATCCCAGAAAAAGGGAAAAAATTCCCAAAGACCAAATCATAGTCGGCTCACCTAGGCAAGTAGCTAATTAACTCATTTGTTAGCCACTTTCATACTCAGAATTACTATGTCTACCTACCTACACTAATCCTCGCCTAGTTCCTGTTCGTTTCAGTGTAACTGAAACTACTTCAGGCCAGAACTTCAAATCCTCTAAGTCACTGCCTTCTGAGACCCTACCCAAACTGACGAAGCAGAAGTGAGTCCTGGTTCGCTTAGCTAGTGCTTAGGCAATACGGAGGCAGTCTTTGAAAGAGAACACAGAAGCTTGGGACTGTGGAGATCATTCACCTCAAGTTCCTTAATGAGGAATGATCAGAGTCAAGGCATGGGGGGGGGAGGGGTTCAAAGTGTTAGATGGGAGGTGTGGGGAGCCAGATTGCTGCTCTTGCAAAGCATTCTTGGTATAATTTTTTTTAATACCAAGACAGCGAGATTTAATTAAAATGAAATATGCAACTGATATAGTCAGAAGTTTCATGCAGGACTTGTCAAATGGTATTTCTTCATTTTTTGGAGTCCCTTGACTTTTCTATTCTCTCAGTTTAACAAAGGGAAGTAGATGGCACCTACCACAGAAAAGGAAAAGTGTAAGGTGACTGTTGAAAATTCACCAACATCAATGTATTTCTATTTCTCTTTTTTTTTAAAAAAAGAAATCTTTCTTTTGGTTTTAGAGCCACACTCAATTGTGCTTGAGGTTACTCTGGCTCAGAGATCATCCTCTGAGATTCTCAGGGGATCAAATGGGAGTGGTCTGGGTGGAGGATCCCTGAATATACATCACACTCCAGCCCTTTGACGACTCCCTTCCTTCCTTCCTTCCTTCCTTCCTTCCTTCCTTCCTTCCTTCCTTCCTTCCTTCCTTCCTTCCTTCCTTCCCTTCCCTTCCTTTCTTCCCTCCCTCCCTTCCTTCCTTCCTTCCTTCCTTCCTTCCTTCCTTCCTTCCTTCCTTCCTTCCTTCCTTCCCTCCCTCCTTTCCTCCTTCCAACCCTCTCTCCCTCCCTCCCTCCTCCTCTTCTCCTCTCCTTCCTTCCTTCCTTCCTTCCTTCCTTCCTTCCTTCCTTCCTTCCTTCCTTCCTCCGTTCCTTCCTCTCTCTCTCTCTCTCTCTCTCTCTCTCTCTCTCTTGTTGGACCTTCAGGGGCTTCTCCCAGTTCTGTGCTTGGGGTTCCTCCCAGCAATACTCAGGGAACAATGTGGTTCCCTGGCATACACATGCAAGGCAAGTACCTTAACCTCTGGACTATCTCTCCAGCTCCCCTCTGTTCCATTTTAACTCAAAAATGTGAACAGAGCAAACTTAGATCAGAGAGAAAATATTTTGTTAAAGTTATTCTTCTTTATTTTTATGTAGGAGTACTGCTATTTATTCAGCCACTGATTAGCTGATTGAATCGTGCATGAATTCCACCTTACTTCAAAAAAAATTTTTTTTATAATTTTATTTATTGAATCACTGTGAGAGCAGTTACAAAATTTTCGGGTCTAAATCTCGGTCATACAATGAAACACCCATACCTTCACCAGTTCCCATTCTCCACCCCCAACAACCCCAGTATACCCCCATCCCACACCCTCCCCCTACCTGTGGGGCTGATGATTTCCACATTACTCTCTCTCTACTTTGATCACATTCAATATTTTGACACCAGACCCATCATTATTATTTGAGATTTTACCCCAACACTCCGATCTTCTGAAAAGGCAACGGTAGACAATTTTCTTTCTATTGCTGGTTATGAATAACATACGATGTCATGTGGCTGCAGTAGTGGCCGCACAATTTTGAAATTCCGAAATTTTAACACTTAAATCTGGAGGGATTTCTGCCAAAACCTGCTGGGTTCCCAGATTTGCTCCTAAGTCTCTGGGATCATGACCGTAAAGCAGCTTGATCAGGAGCCAGAAAGGCCGTTCGTGGACGATGACTTGGGGTCTCGTTGGGGTGGGGAGGATAGAACTGGCTCCACCCCCATCCCATGAGGCCCAACAAGTTTCATCACTGCAGGCCCAAGCCTGACTGTCCAGTGGCCTCTGGAGGATGGTGGCCACTGAGCCACCAAGGGGAAGCAGACGGAGGGACAGCACCCTTTCCCCCCTAGGGTGGCCTGGCGACAGAAACCTACTGCGGGGGCTGGACACATTTCTGCCAAAAGCCACTGGATTTCAAGATTTGTTTCTGAGTCTATGGGATCATGGCCATTAAGCAGCTTGATCAGGAGCCAGAGAGGACATTTGTGGGCAATGACTTGGGGTCTTGTTGGGGTGGGAAGGACAGAACCGGCTCCACCCCCATCCCGTGAGGCCCTGCGTGTCTCGTCACTGTGGGCCCAAACCTGACTGTCCAGTGGCCTCTGGAGGATGGGGGCCACTGGGCCACCAGTGGGAACAGGCCAAGGCACGAAACCTATTCCCACCTGGGTTGGCCCAGGATTGGTAACCTACTGCAGGGACCGGATGCATTTCTGCCAAAAGCCTCTGGGTTTCAAGATTTGACTCTGAGTCTCTGGGATCATGGCCATTAAGCAGTTCAATCAGGAACCAGAGAGGCCATGCCTCCAATTATATAGCTGAGCCGGAGGTGGTTTGTGAGTGTGTTTCCCACATACCTAACTTTTGGCCATTTACTTTCTTGGTAAACTTTGCCCCAAGTTTTTGGGGTCTGGCCAAGTTATTCTTCTTTTTAAGAATATTTTTCTCTTTTATCTTCTCAGTACAGTGCTACTTAGAACCTCGTGGTTCAAGCTAAAGTTTCTGCAAAGTCTTGGTTCAAGCACCCAGGGTTTGTGCTTCTTTGATGAACTTCCTCTTTTCCTTTGCGACCTTGGTCATCTCTATGCTCTCAGCTATATAATGATGTACCATATAATTTAAAGCATTGAACATCTAATGCTAATAGCCTCTTTGTTTTCCATTTTTGTTGGTAGTTTGCTTGTTTTATTTATTTATTTTTGGTGTCTTTTTTTTTGGGGGGGGGGGGGGAGAGGTCTTTTTTTTTTTGCAGGGAAAGGGGCATAATCAGTGGTACCCAGAAAGTACTCCTGGCCAAGCGACTACTACTTTCTCAGGGGTCACTCCTGGAGGGAATCCAGGGAGCCATGTGGTGATGGGGATTGAATCCAGGCCTCCTGCATTATAAAAAGAATGTGCTCAGTCTGTTGAGTTGTCTCTCCAGCTTGCTAATGCATTTTTTTTTATTAAAATAGCTATGATTTGTGCCACATCTATTACTAAGTAGTTTAGTAAATTGGGACGTGATTATGAATAATAATTTTAAATCCTTATCATCCCTATTTTACAGATGACAAATACGAAGATTTGCAAAATTTACTTGTCAAGCTTACAAGTGATGTAGTTTGAATTTCAGATTCAAACTCAGGTCCTCCTGTTTCCAAAGCTGTCAGCTTTAGAAAATTGTATAATTAATAAGGAAATGGAGACACTCTGGCAATGATAATTATTCAATGGGTCAAATCAATTGAGTGCCGAGTGCAGCTGAAAGATTTACCTGCCGCATTTGAATTCTAATCAATTCCAAACAGGACCCTAGAAATCAAGGGCAATGACTCAGAATAAAAACTCAGGGAAGTGGCTCACTTCAAAAAGACATTTTAAATTGAAAAAGATTATCTCTTAAATAATAAATTTTCATAAGCAAGCAGTTTACCTCCATGAAACTGACATTCAATCAATGAGCCAGTCAGTGGATCAGACAGGCTCTTTTTGGAGATGTGTTTCTCAAAATCTCTGCAGAAGAGGGTTCGTGACCCCAGAAGTACTTCCCACATGCACCCACCTGTTATATAGCTGATGGTAGAGCTGTCACAGCAGCTCAGTTCTGGGTCTCCCCACGTCACCATGGTAACTCGGAAGTTGTAGTACCATGCTGGCAACAGATTAGCGATTCTCTGTAAAAAAAAGGAAGGGGACAAAAAGCTAAGGAGTGGGGATGGGACATCATGTTTTTGAAATATATTTACTTCTTATGAGGTCATGAAGGAAATTAGCAATTTTTATATTCCTTTCTATGTCCTTTAATATTTCCCAAAGTTTCCATTAAAATCCTTCCTGGAAAGGCATGTGATGTCAATCCAGTGATTATGAAAATACAATTTTCTACAGAGATTCAGTGATACAGAATCAAATAATTTTAAGCTGGATTTTACTCCCCAGTTTCCTACTCATTTACACAGTGACATCAGACTTCTCCATAGGGGACAGTGCCGCTGCACACACCGATTTCTGAGGATCTCTTGTCACTCTGTCCTCTCCTAACTTGGTCTACAAGCATGTGTTTTTGTCGGGCAACAATGAGAGTTGTCATATGATCAGAGGGCCACTGTCACTCAGAGACTGGTAGGTAGCCAGCATTTAAAAACTGTCCTGGCTGGAGAGATAGCACAGCTGGTCGGACATTTGCCTTGCATGCAGCTGAGCCGGGTTCGATTCCCAGCATCCCATATGGTCTTCCGGAGCACTGCCAGGAATAATTCCTGAGTGCATGAGCCAGGAGTAGTCCCTGTGCATCGCCGGGTGTGACCCAAAAAGAAAAAATAAAAAGCAACTATCCTGGTCATGGAAAGAACACCCTTTACTTGCTCTCTTGCAAAGCATCCTGATGGTCTAATTTGATAGTTTTTTTTCACTGATGTGTAAGTGTTATGGCAAGAACAGTCATCCTTAGGATTAGACTGTGTCACCAACAAGTGAATGACTAAAGTCTGGGTATTCTTCCTCAGGAGCAGTGAGAAATGAGAACTACTTTGCAATCTACTGAAAATTCTGAATTAGCAAATAGATTTTATTCAGGGTAAACACAATCATTTCTTCCACGTTTCCCCACTCTCAAACTCTACCCCCACCACTCTCTCTCAAAAACAAAATTTCAGAAGCAAAGTCCATGAAAAAAAATCTTAAGAGTTGCAAGCTACCTGTGTGCATTCTCAAAAGATATCATTTACAGGTCACTTTCCCCGCCCCCTTTGCTAATGTATAAAGGTGTGCTGGTTTACAGTGGAAGCTGAGAGCTGGTTCCCTGGAGCTCACCACGGAGGCCGTTAAGGAGACCGTTGCTGCTATTTCATAGTAGGTTGTCCATTCAGAAGTCATGGTTGCAGGGTTGAAATAAAACATCTCCACCACGTATTTCCGGAACACGCCTAAGTAAGGTCTGGTCCAACTCAAAACCACTGCTGTAGGGCCCAGTGGATAGAGCATTAAATCCTTTATTCCAGTTGGAACTAGAGAACAGGGATACGGGGAGAGGAAAAGCCAAGAAGGAATATGCAATATTTTAGCAATGGCTTGAAACTTTATATAGCCAGTCTCAACTATCTAAGAAAACCATTGAAAACTAAACATAGGTGCCCCCAATTCCCCCCCCCGCCCCCCCGCCGAGTGTTAAGCATTCCTGAGAATGTCCCCCAGATACACAGCCACTTATCACTCTGGCGGTAGAATATGGGGAAATAAGTATGATCTGCTCAGTTGTGATGACAATGACCTGGCTTTGGACTTTGGACTCCTTCAAACAGTACTCCGACCAGATGATTATTCTTGTGTCTAGAAACTTACCGATGGCAAATGTCACAGGATCTGAAGGTGGTCCAATCAAAGGGCCTTTTCTGAGGTACATCACAACCTGGTACTGGGCCCCAGGAACCAGATTTTCAATAATAGTTTTGCTTGAGTTCACCTTCAAATCAAACATCCAATAAGACTGATTTAGAGCTGGGCTTTTCAAGGCTGAAGTGGTATTCAGATAGTCATTGTGGATCCATGGATATCTTTGAAATTCAGGTTCAAGTCCTTACCCATGCTGGGGAAGGTCAGCTTTCAAACTTAGAATGATTTATAGTTTGTGTGAACACTGAAGGGGACCCAGAACATTCCAATTCCATGGCTGGATTTAATAAGCCTCATGAACTGCTTTATCCCCATCACTGTCAGTCGTAACTGTGTTCACAGGAGACACATCAGCCTTTCAACATAATCAAATCAGCAATACTGTGAGGAGATTCTGACATCCTAAATTGTGGTGTCAGCTGATTATACACAATGGAATGTCTTTAGTCTCTCCTCACTTAGAAGCATAGAGTATCTAATTATAGAGATGGAAACGACCTCAGAGATTATCTAGTCCAAATCTCTCATTTAATAGATGAAGAAAGAAAAGCCAGGGATGGCCAAGGTCATGTATTTAGATTCAGTGGTGGGGTGGAAACTCTACTTTGCGACCTCTACTCCATGCTACAGTCTGAGCATTGAGATAGAGTGGAAAACACTTTGCAAGGCTCTGGTGACCTCAAGAAATAAGTTTGTAGAGAATGTTTCACATTTAGATGAGCTCTGGTTTACAGTTCATTTTTTTAGACTTTGGAAGTGTGACAAATGCTGTATAGAGAAAAATGGTAAGAATAGATAGATGAATGAACTGTATTGGTTGGAGTCAAATGTTGGTATGCACAAAGATTGATGATTCAACTAGAAGGTTAAGAAGCATGCAGACTAGACATTTAACTCCTCTAATATTTAGCCAGTCTTTCTTGCTGGGAAGAACATGGATTTTCTGTTGGGATTGCCAAGGACCAAATTCTGATTCTATTTTCACAGGAAAAGGAATTTATAATCCTAATTTATCTTCCTCATTGATTAAGTACAGATAATTGTTCATATACCTGGGAGTTGAAAGGATACATATATCAGATCAATAAGTCTAACAATACTCATCAATTTTCCAACCTTTAGGTTATTTAAATATTGCAAAATTGATGTAAAAAAAGCATGAACCAACAGAGATCAGTATTATCCACCATACAAGCATCTTTAAAAGTCTTACGATGATTTTAACATAGTATTGAAGATATGTTATGAATTATTCTGTATGGTACCATAATTAAGCCCAGAGCTTCATACATGCAAGGCATGTGTTGTACCAGTAAGCCACATCCCTGGACCTAAGATGAATATTAAACGTTTTCAGTACCAGAGACTGATCCTCCACCATAGAATTCCTTGTTATGGTGAACTGGTACAACTTGCTTTACATGTTAGGAGGAGAAGCAGCATAACAAAATTTCTTTTCCAGGGGCAAACTTGGGCGATGGGCGATGGGCGATGGGCACCTGCCTCAGAGTGCCATTTGAGTTGTTTTGATTTGATAATATTTTAGGGGAACTGGAGGCCATGGTGGAGAGAAGCCCACACTAGGGGTGGGATTGATGTTGGAAAATGGAATGCCTGTAATAACTGTATTATGAACAAGCAGCTTGGTAAATCACAATGTTACAATAAAAAATTTTTTTTAGAAAATAAAGAAATTTTTTCAATAATTTGACCTAATTTGACCCAAATGAGAAGTTCGATGCTTGTATAACAGTCTCACCCTTCCCTTCCTTTATATATATATATATATATTAGAAATTTTTGCCCATTTTAGAATTTTGCTCAATGCCATATTGATAAAATTGACCAAATGGATATTATTAGTTTGTTTCTCCAAGAAATGCTCTGAATAAATACTTGCATAATCTGTGTATAACTAAGCAGTGCTATTTACTTTTGCAAAAATACATTTTTTACATGATAAAACCAGCACATGTTCATTGTCAAAACAGTTCACTTAGCAAAAGAACAAATGAAATAAATCAACTCTTTTGGTCCTTTCCCCACCATTTTCAACATTTTGGTGGACAACTCTCTAATTCTCTCTCTCTCTCTCTTTCTCTCTCTCTCTGACACACAAACACACACACACACACACACTACACACATATACACATGTACATATACACATTTGCATGCATGCGTACACACACAAACATATCACTGAGTCCACTGCAGTTATATTATCCATATTGCTTCAAACTATCCTTTTAAAATTTAAGAATACATGAAGGCATACTATTATACCTGTAAGTGCTGAACGACCTGATTAATTACTCATTTACTATAACAGTATATAGAGTACAACACCTGCCTCAGAGTGCCATTTGAGTTGCTTTGACTTGATAATATTTTAGGCAATTATTGTTTAGCCAAAGGGCTATCACAAACACTTAATATCTATCATAATATAGTCTTCCTTAGAAAACTAGTTTCTTAAAAGTAAAAAAACTCATTTCTATATTTCACATTACTAAAAACTTCAGAGACAACTGTGATACTAGACTGACTTATCCTGATAACAAATCAAATACCAAATCTCCCCCCATTTTTAATAACTGCTGAGCCACCATCTTCTACCTACACTTCTATCACTTTGTACCTTCTTAAAATTTGTCCAGGACCTTCTTGGTATGTGTTGCAGGTGGGAAGGAAAAATGGTCCTGCAAACTACTTACTAAATAGTGGATGTTTTATTCCCTACAGGGGCACCCTCCACTCCTCTAGCAATTTTTTTTTATCCCTCCTTTGATCACTATTTTCTCCTATCCTATTCCGGACTGAGTCTTTATTCCAGAAAATTTGGTCCAGCCCTTTGTCTCTCCAACTGTGCACTGGTACTATTCCTCCTGAGCTAAAGCAGCAGGCGGGACAACGCGGCACAGAGCTGAACTGTAGGACAGACAGTTAGATAATAGGGTGGAACTCAATGATAGCAGGGTTTCTTTGCCTCTGAAACAGTCTCATTTCTACTTTCTGTGTTCCTCTTCCCATTTTTTTAATACTCAATTGTAGTTATTCAGGCTATCTTGGAAAACTTCTAGAACTTCTCCCTTGATTCAAAGAGAATTTAGCTAGGTTTGTCTAATAGCAAAACTATGTTATATATATTCACCGTCACTGTCTTCCCATTGTTCATCAATTTGCTCAAGTGGGTCCAGTAATGTCTCCATTGTGACACTTGTTACTGTGTTTGGCATACTGAATACGTCATGGGTAGCTTGCCAGGTTTTGCCGTGTGGGTGAGATACTCTCGGTAGCTTGCCAGGTTCTACAATGATAAGTAATTTCTTGTGCAGCTAAGCCTGGACACTGCATTAAGCCCTATTATCTTTTGGGGGCCATACCGAACAATGCTTTGGGAACCATGTGGTACCAAGGATCAAAGCTAGGGACTCCCACAAAAGCAAGTATTTCAGTTCTTCAAGTCATCTCCCTGGCCCGAATCCTATTATGTGTATTACAATTTCAGTGTCTCTTTTTGAGATGGAAAGACTCTGGAGATCAATCAAGTTGTATAGAAGGAAGAGGAGGAGGGTGAAGTCATCCCACCCGCAGTTCTTACAATGGCCTGCAGGCTACTGGAAGGACACCCAGCTCAGGGGTCAAATTCCTACCTGCCCTCCAAAGTGTGGCCTCCTTCGGGCCTGTAATCCCTCACAATTTAACATTAGCATTTTAAGAAGGCTTTGCCAAAGTGCACTTAAATGGGCCTTTTCTGGCTCATTTATAATTTAGAATCTATCTTTAGCCTTTGGCTTTAATGCAAAAGCGAAGTCATCTGCATAGTAGGTGACTGGGAGCATCAGGTTGTCATCGCAGAAGGGAAGCATGTATATTGGTTTCTGAACCACACCCAGTCATGCTGTTTTTGACGCACACCCACTTCTGGCTCTGCACTCAAGAATCAATGCTGGTGGGGCCCAGGGGACCATATGTGGTGCTAGGGATCGAAGCCAGGCCATCCACCTGCTCTGCTACCACTTTGGGAAGCTTAGTTTTCTCTCCATCTAGAACTGGTTGTCTTTGTGGGTCAAGGAAGGACGCATCTCAGCTTCCCTGTGAGCTGTGATGACTACTTCATCAGTTTGACACAGTAACTCTTTAATTCAAGGTAAGAAGAGGACTTATTTTCAATTAAGGGCTTTCTCGGCCCAGAAAGCCTGTAAAATGTGCCCGAAACCATGGCCCCAATTCCTCTCATAGGCTTAGAATTCTCATTCTCTTTATTTCACAAAGTCAAAATTTATGGGCATGAACAGAAGCATTCCAAGTAGCTTTTATATAGCAATTTTTTTTTGAGTGGTGTATACACCTGACTATGCTCAGGACTTATTCCTGGCTCTATACTCAGGAATCATTCCTGGCAGTGCTCAGGAGATCGTATGTGTGCTGAGAATCAAACCCAGGTCAGTAGCATACAAGGCAAGCATCTTACCTGCATCTGGCTCCTACAAACTTTTTTTTTCAAAATACTATATTTTCTATTTGTTTCACTCAAATGTGTCATTTAAATTCACTGTCACTGTCCTCCCATTGGGGCTGGAGTGATTGCACAGTGGTAGGGCATTTACCTTCCACGCGGCTGGCCAGCCGAGCCTGGTTCGATTCCTTCACCCCTCTCGGAGAGCCCGGCAAGCTACGGAGAGTATCATGCCCACACGTGCTATCGCTCCAGTCCATGATTTACAATACTAATGTTCATGATGGTTTCTCATGCACATAATTCCAGCACCACACTCATCACCTCTGACCTCCTTCCCTCCCCCAAGGACCCGACACTCCTCTCCTTCTGCCCTTTCTCCCCACAACCAATCCAAGCAATTCAACCCGTTGTTTCCTGTGTACCTTGCTGTGTATCTTTAAGTCCTCTTTATGAGAGAGATCGTTCTGTATCCATCATTTTGTTTTTCTTTTAGGGAAGGAATTACTTGTAAGATAACATGAATTGATAAAAATTGATTTCATGAAGTGATAAAGACAGATTTTCAGAAGCTAGGTTTGTGCTCCAGACTTCCTGGGAGTATTTGGAGCACTGGGGGCAGCCTCTACTCTCAGGACTATTAGTTAGGACTGGGCACATCCACTGGGGATGTCCACTTCCTCCCAGAACCCCATTGAGTACCTTCTGTACCCATCTCTCCTTCAGAACCCTTCTGATTGTGATTAGCTAGAGGGAGCATTTTACTGCCTGTGCTCAATCAAGTAATCTTAGAGAACACTTCTCTTTAAAGAAAAATAAGCAACTGCACTGACGTATCTGAATCTCACACTGAAAAATGTCCAGAGGGCAGTGGTACAGCAGTGACATAGCTTGGTAATAAATCCTAAACACCAACTGTCCCACTAGCATAGCAATATTTATTAAGCCGCAGCCACACTTCTCAAAAACAGTTTTTGAATGATGTTTCCAGGGAACCTTCTCAAAAAGAAAGAAAGAAAGAAAGAAAGAAAGAAAGACTTCTCAAAAACAGTTTTTGAATGATGTCACTTGTTCAGTTAAAATGACAATGACAATAATAGTCTAGTTAACAAGTTAACCTTCCTCTGGGGGTCTCTCCCCTGGGGCACTGTTAAGATCTTTTGCAAGTTCTTGGGTCCTGAGGCAAGGAGTCCCTCTGGCTCCTTGGGCTCTTCGCTGACCCGTGGCTACTTGACCTCCTTAGGCAGAGGAACTGCAGAATTACACTCCAGCCTCAGGAACTCGGTCCTACCGACCTCTGGCTCTCACTTAGAGTAGAGGAGCTTGCAAGAGAAGGGCTAATCAGAATGACGGGAGGTCTCCAGCCTCTACTGTCTGGCACGCACAGGCACGCAGGGAGTTTTCTCGACTTAAGGACCAAGGTGAAAGGGAGCGGAAGATGACTGGCTTGCAGGGCTCAGGGCAGGTCCTTGTCAAGCCGCTCGCAGGCACCCGGCATCGCAGCGCACCGGCTCCTGGCCCCTCCCGAGCAGGGTAGGGTCCCACCCCCTCTCCTGTACCTGCGTGCAGTACTGCTTCTCCAGCCGCTGGCTCTCCTTCTGCTTCTGGCAGGTGAGCGACACCACGGACACGAGGGTGCCGTTGGAATTCTCCTGGGATGACGTCCAGGACAGCAGCGCCGTGGTGGGGCTGAGGACTCGCACGCTCACCTGCTGCGGCTTCTCCGTCAGTTCTTCGATCCACTCCCCTGCGGGACCTGCACGCGGCCAGGCGGCCAGGCAGAGACAAGGGAGGAGGGTTTGCACCGAGCCTCAGGGACAGGGGAGCCTAGCAGAAGAGAAACTCTCCCGGGCCTGAGCCACCTGACAGGGGGCAAGGCGTTAGCCCTGCAAGCGGCCGACCTGGGTTCGGTTCCCGGACATCCCATATGGTCCCCCAAGCACCGTCAAGAGTAATTCCTACGTGCAGAGCCAGGAGTAACCCCTGAGCATTGCCGGGCATGAGCCAGAAGGAGAAGAAACTCTACTGTAGCTCCGAAGGTGAGGGCTCAAAGAGTTGGAGTGCACGTGGAAACCCCAGGTTGAATCTCTGGTCCTGCAGAGTGCCCCAGAACAGTGCTGGGTGTGTCCCTTCTCCCAGGCGCGCGCGGAGATCTGCAGATCGCAGAGTCCTCCAGAACACTGCTGTGTGTGGCCCCTCTCCCTGGTACACACACACACACACACACACACACACACACACACACACACACACAAGCACGAACGCCCACGCAGACAAACACATATGCACACTTTCCTCTTAGACATTGAGAGTAAGGCTGGGATCACAGTCTCCCAGAACACTGCTGGTTGTGACCCTCTCCCCGGTACACACACACACACACACACACACACACACACACACACACGCACGCATGCACGCACACACACAAGTACACACACACTTTCCTCTTAGAGACTGAGAATAAGGCTGGGACACAGAGTCCACCCAGAACACTGCTGGGTGTGGTCCCTCTCCCCAGTGTATACACACACACACACACACACACACACACACACACACACACTTTCCTCTTAGAGATTGAGAATAAGGCTGGGACACAGAGTCCACCCAGAACACTGCTGGGTGTGGTCCCTCTCCCCAGTGTGTACACACACACACACACACACACACACACACACACACACACACACACTTTCCTCTTAGAAAGACATAGAGAATAAGGCTGGGACCAGAGGGGTTCGGAGCTCTGCCCCTTGCAACCACCTACACAAGGACAAACCACCATGGCAGACCTGCCCAGCACAGCTGCTCCACTGCTTCTGCCACAGTGGAGATTATGCTGTAAATTCCACCCGAGAGAACAGCTTCTCTTAACAAGGAGGGAGTGTGGCATTTCAGCAGCGACTAACTAAAAATTTCCTTCTTGGCAGGGTTTGGATGCTCTAGGAAGTATGCTTTCAGATTCAAATTAGCCCTTATTATAGTCAATGAAAGAAAAAAAAATTGGCAGGCACAGGGGCCAAGGCACAGGGTGTGAGTCGACAAGAAACGCGCAACAGGCTGGTTTGATGGTAGAAGCTGGTAAAACCTGGGTGATCCTTTGAGGGACTTGGGTGGGTTCCTCATTATCAAATATCTCCTGAGATGTGCGCCCCCGGAGCCTGGTCCTCAGAAATTTGGAAAGGGGTTATTTAGCACAGTGTCTAAGACAGAGGAAGGCCTCCAGAAATGACAAGGTGATTAGGTAATTGTTGTGTTCAGAAATGCCCTTTTGGAATGCAAATGTGTAGCTTCCTTTTGTTGGCTTAAAGGCGCTTGATTCTTGCATTGAAAATTGTATCCTTCCCTGCATCCTCTGCAGGAGAGGAAGAATGGGGGGTGGGGGGGGCATCTGACTTCTGGTAAAAGGTGCTCTGAAAACTATAACAATGCAAATGCTGACGGAGCCTCAGCCTGCTCAGCCTGTACCAACTTCGTTTCAAGTTTCTGGGTGTCCACTGCCCATCTTAATCCTTCCCTGTCTGTAACAATCAGCACCATCAACAATCTCCTTTGAGCAAGGGACCTGAATCAGGGTAAGAACTACTGGAATTCAAATGAGAACATTTCCTTCCCAAATCCATGATCTTAATTGCTGAGCACAGCTTCCTGAGTATTATATCAGAAAAAGAAAAAGCACTGGTTTGGAGATGGTTTGGTGGCACAAGGCTCACTTTTGATAACTATTAATCACGCAATATCAGGTAAGTGATTTAACTTTTTTGAATCTCAGAAAATCCCAGTCATTTCATCTGCCAAATGGGCAGATCTAGAACCAAAGACTTGAAAGAACTTTAGAGATTCATGACCTGATTTTACAGAGGAGGAAACTGAGGTCCAGAAATATGGATGACCTATCCAATGTCAAAGAGTTGGTCAGTGCTTAGGATCCAGTCAGGATCCAGGCCTAGTCTCCCATCTCCTGATCAGGTTTCGCGACAACTTCTTGGTGACATTACCTGTTGAGCTTTATCACAAAACTATCGTTGGATTTAGTGACATCAGCTATGTTAGGGGGTAATATCATTGTGAAAGATTATCACTTTATGAAGACAACCAGGGTATTGAGAGCACAGAGGAAGTGGGAGGAAACACACACACACCCACACACACACACCACAATTATTGAATGGTTTCACATTAGGGCTGAGGCTGATCTGATAACCAACCCAAGGTCATTGCAGTCTATATAGAAATGAACTTGGTTGTTACCTTCCTAAACTCTGATGCTTATTCAGGAAAAGCCAGTGAGCTTACTGTATCTCAGCTTTTTTTTTCAATCCGAAGAAAAATGCTTCCTTCTGAAAAATGTAAGCCTTCTGGGGGAATCATGTAAGGTTCTACTAAAATTCTTCTCTCTGGGGAAAGACTTCAACTACATAAATGTAAATCATGAAGCAACTACATAAACATACTCTTTTATGTAGTGGACTGTATTAAATCTTAAGGCCAAAGCTTAACATTTCAAAGGTAGAGAAGGTTTGGTGAGGAAAATGAACTTTGACTATAATTTGGCATATGTATGACTGTGAGAAGTTGGGGGCACTTTTGGTAGATAGAATAGTTTTATTTATAATAGAGTATTTTATTTTAAGTATTCTGTATTTGATAGTATTATTCTTTAAAGCCAGGGTACAAACACAGTACTTCTGCTTAACTCATTATTGCTGAACAGAATATCCTAAGCACTAAAAATATCAATCTTGGCAGACAAAACCCAAAAATTCTACTGCCCCACATTTTTCTAGATGAATAGTAATAAGCACTCTGAAATACTCCTGTTTTTGAGAAATTTTCACACATTCCCAACAGCTCTAGAAAAATAGATAATCTAAAAATAGAGCAGAGTGCCGGATGTATGAAAGTAGCTCCACAAATATTTGTTGTAAATACAACAGAATTAAATGAGCAAATAATATAACCTAGCCTCAAATTTCAGATTTGGTACGGGAAGCAAGAGGTATACAATTCACACACACACACTGCTGTGTGGTGCTCTATGGAATGCAGGAATGCAGCAAACTCAGGGAAGGGAAAAGTCAGCCTGGCTGGAAGAGTTGGAGGAGTTTCATGGAAACAGAGACTATTGCTCCGGACCTCTCCTGGCAGAGAAAGAAATTTTTGGTTAGTGAAATGTTTTAGCCAGGAGAAAACTGAATGCTAAAGCTTTGTTCTCGTTCTTAAATGATCCCATTTCAAAGATTTCCCTAACTTCAAAGACACTCAAGGCCATTATGACCATCTTTCCGGTTCTAATGGATCAAGTGTCCAAGGGATCTTTCAAGACTTTGAATGAGTGATGACAACTTTTGATTTCCACAGTAAAAATTTCACATGGGACATCTTCAACATTTGTGATGTTTGTAATGACAAATAAGAAGCTGTATGTAATGAGAATTATGAAACTGTAATGAAAATTAAGAAAATGTGATTGGGACTGAGAAGCTGAAACTGACCCTCTAAATTAAAAAAGAAAAGGGAGGGAGAAGCATTCCTTTTATGACTCCAATTAACAAACTTAAGGGCCCACCAACTCACCAGATTTCTGGGAGTGTAGTGGGCCTGACAGATTTATGGGAGTGTCCAGGAGACGGAGACGTTACCTGAAGGTCGCACTAAATGGGCAAGACATACTGACATGGGCTGTTTTCTCTTTGAGCGCCTGAAGGACATACCATGTGGAAAAGATGCATTCATTGTGCTTTGCCAACTACCTCTGTATCTCCTGTTTCATTGATAATAATGTACGTATTTTGTAGCTCACCTTTAGAGGATAAAAGTGAGTCCCTCTCAGGAAATGGGGCTCCAATTCTCTTCTGACTTGGGGTTCTCAGCGCTGAGCCACTGTCCTATCCTGAGCTGTCTCTCTCTGTTCACTCGAGGCTTGTGCCAACACAACACTGTTGTGTTTTAATTCTATACCTTTGCTTTCCGGTTCTATGTAAATATTGGGAGTGGGGATTCACACTGCCATCTGGGATTCAGCCTCACCCCAACCATCCTTTCTATGTGTAGCTTTCAGAAGGGCTGAATCACCTAATCTGCTCTCCTCCAGCACCCCTCTTGTTTCTCCATCTGCACATTTTTGATAATTATTTGACTAATCGTGACATTTGGTAAAGTGTGTGGCAGTTATCTTTTTGGAAAAGCAATTTTTATCCATTGTCTCCTGTTTTTTTTTTCTTTCTGTGGATTAGAGTCACATTTAATTCGTGAGAAGCTAAGTAATAATTTTTAGCCTTTGAACTTCAGATAAGTTGAACTAAAATCACTGCGGGTACACATTATTCGTACAGTGATTAGTGGCGAATTATTGCTTGCTTATTAGACCTTACTTCAGAATTGGCAGAAGCGCCCTTAGGACTTGTTTGGGGTTTTAAGGACGTTCTTGTCATTGTCTTCTAATTTCATGGTGACTACCTGCATCTTACTCCACGTGAATCTTCATAATTCTTTTAAGCACCTGCAAGCTTGTTCCCCTAATAAGACTTTTCACAAAGTCCAAGAACATCAATTTTATTATGAAAGTAATATTTCTCAAACTTGTAACCTTGGAGAATTTGTTGAGGCTAGTGTGGAAGGTCAGTTTAATAAATGTTCAATTATCCAGTAATGAAAAAAGGATCCTCATGTGAAATCTGGGGGTAGATTTGCTGCTATTAACCAGACATCTATTTGTTGGCTGTCATCATCTTTTGAATACAGGTTCCTCCTGACCTTGAATAATTCTTAGCATCTCTAACATTTGATGAATAATTGATGCCTGGGCATCATTAATCTTACCAGTTGCATTGTCCCAGTTCTGTAAGTGCAAAATAATCTCTTTGTTACTTACTGATATAAAAGCTGAGAGATTTTGCTGATTGGCTTTTTCGAGGTTCACAAGATCCTGAAGAGCTAAAGGTTGTTACAGATAACTTGTATTTTCCAGGCTCTTTCAGTTCTGCAACAAATTCATGTGCTTCTTCATCCACTGTTAAATATTCAGTAAAGTTTTCTACATCATAAATAAAAAAAATATACATGAATGGATACCTGGCAGGGTCTTGACTAGAGATAACTCAGCTTATCACAAAGAATATTTTATGCTGTCTTCTGCCTCTTGTCAAGTTTAATTATAACTCTAAACTACAGATAGTGTTAAGGAAAGATGTTAAGAAAAGCGTTATGGAAAATTGTTTTTCACAATACATTTTTACAAATAGTTAAACTATGCTGAAAGTAGACTATAGACCAAACATGATTGTCACCCATTGCCTCTTTTGCAAACCACAACACCCAATAAGAGAGAGAGAACAAAAGGGAATGCCCTGCCACAGAGGCAAGGTGGGAAGGGGGGGATGAGGGGGTGGGAGGGATACTGGTATCCGTGGTGGTGGGAAAGGGGCGCTGGTGGAGGGATGGGTACTTGATCATTTTATAATTGAAACCCAAGCACAAAAATGTGTAAGTCTGTAACTGTACCTCATGATGTCTCACTATTAAAAATAAAAAAAATAAATCCAGGAAAAAATAAATAAAATAAATCCAGGAAAGAAAAACATCACATCAAAAAAAAATAGCTAAACTAAGAAATGATATCCAAATCAATGAACTCGGGGGTAGGCACTGACTCCCTCTTCTGCAGTTATACCCAACAAAGCAAAATGCACGAGATACATGCAAAATGTCAGGACATCCTTGACTTTCAAGAAATTCTTAATTTTTTTCTTTGCTTGGGGAATCACACCCAGCTATGCTCAGAGCACACTCCTGCTGCTTTGCTCAGGGATCACTCCTGCAGGGCTCAGGGGACCATATGTGGTACCTAAGATCAAGCCCATGGCAGCCTTGTGCAAGGTGAGCGCCCTCCCCACTAGACTATTGCTTCTGCCTCAATCACTGATTTTCTTGCTTGAATATAAGGGAAAAAGATGACCAGCAACAAATATCTTCTGGTCTGCGAGGTCACAGAAAATATTCCCAAATGCCTCAAAACACACTGACATTTTTTTCTGATCAGAGAAATTTCTTCCGGATGTATTTTCTGACACATATAATGCTTTCTTTCCTCTGCTTCTAGAACTTCTAAAAGTTGAAATGAGTCTTCCATGGCCGCAGAGTCCATCTCCTGCTGCTTCTCCCTGCTTTGAAGCTGTTGTCATTAGCCACTGACTCCAGCCATCTTCAAAAGAGCACGTTGCAGTCACATGAAAGGACGATTGGACTTTCATGGCAAAAGACATTTAAAAAAAGTGGAAGTCATAAGCCCTGCTCTCCACAGACTACATTGAGAAACACAGAACTGAAAAATGGATGAAGGGGAGATGTTCTAATACAAGCAATTCTAGGCAAATATTAAGATTTTTTATTCATATAATTGGAAATGACAATGGACTTTAATTTTATATAGTATTGGGGTCTGAGTAATGGGTTATTATCTTATATAGGAAACCCCATTTATTTTGTATCCAATTATGTTTAATATTAGGGACACATACTATGATATATGAGCTTACATGGTGTTAATGCCCTATGTTCAAAACCAACTGTCATTTTAATTTTCAGATTCTTGACAACTTGACAACCTTTGCTCTCAAACAATTAGGCCGGAAAGTAGAAAATGAAGTGTTATATTAAAAACAAAACAATTAATAACTATAAAGATCTACCACAAAACAACCCAGATATGATTCATGATGCAAATTTACTGACCACCATGACCCCTTTCATAATTGAGTGGGCTAGATGATCAGGAAAGGCTCTCAGAGAACATAGTCATGGCAGAATAGCCATAGTGAGATAACCACTGGCTGTATATTTTCTTGTTTTTATTTTCAGCTCGTTTCATAGAGTGAGTGATGTGGGTCTCAGATGAGCACAACCCAGGGTTAAGAGTAGCTAGGGAAGCAAAAAGCCTACTCTTAGAAAAGTAGACATTTTATCAGATTCTTTTGTTGCATGCTTTTCTTGATACTTTCCCCTGCATATATATATATATATATATATATATATATATATTTTCATTGAAAATGCTTAGATCTTTAAAATCTTTGAAAATGTAAGTGCTCCCTAAGTGACCTGGGGTTTGGGACACATTGGGCAGCAACACTTTTACAATTGCCAGGCCTTTCAACTTATGAAGCGCTCAGACCTGGAGATTCTGGTCCAAGTAACTCATTTCTGCTTTCTACTATTAGTCCATATTGAATACTTAATTATGTTTTTTCTCTCCCTCCCTCCCTCCCTCCCTTCCTCCCTCCCTCCCTTTCTTCCTTCCTCTTTCCTCCCTCCCTCCCTCCCTCCCTCCCTCCCTCCCTCCCTCCCTCCCTCCCTTTCTTCCTTCCTTCCTCTCCTACTCTCTCTTTTCTCCCTCCCTTTCTTCCTCCCTTCCTCTGTCTATCTCTCTCTCTCTTTTTTCCTTTCTGTTTGATTTTGGGCCAAACCCAGCAATGCTCAGGAGTTACTCCTGACTCTGCACTCAGGAATTACTCTCAGTGGTGCTTGTGGGACCACTTGGGATCCCGGGATCGAACTTGGGTTATCTGTGTGCAAGACAAGTGTCTTACTCTCGATATTATTGCTCCCCCAAATCCTTTTCTTCCTCAGCCATTTTTCTTTAGAGATTGTCTGCCCTCAATCTTCTGATAATTAAATTTTAAAAAGCTTTCACTTCCTGGCACCTTTTCTTTTGTCTCTGATTTGTCCATTCCCTTACCTTCTCTTTCTATGTGGATATGAAACCCATCGAAGGCAGTGGGAGGCTTTGGTGGGAGCCAACTCAGGATCATTTGCACTGGGAAGAAAGACACCGCGTTGGCTGCTGCTCTCTCTGTCCTGCTGAGGGTGCTGTTCTCATCATACTTCGTGGGGAGCACCTTGACGAAGTCCTCATCACCCTCAGGAGTGGCAGAGGCCCCGTCCCACCAGTATGGCTGAGAGGTTGGATCATCATCACTACTGTTAACTTCAGGCCAACCAGAAGAAATGTTGCTCGGGGGAATTTCAGGCATGTCTCTGGAAAAGTGAAAGACTTTGTCTTTCTCCACAGTGTCTTGGGCTCTGATGAATGGCTCCTCCGGGAAACTGCCACTCTGCTCTTCCCAGTTGTTCTTGTTCAGGTTTATAATACGGACAGAGATATTTCGAGGTGGGTAAGGAGCTGTAAGAGAGTTGTATTCCCAAGTTATTATTAATTGCAATGTTGCAACACAATCTACTAGTGAGTTAAATATCCATGAAGATTTCCTAATTAGAGTTTAATTTTGCTTCTACAATACAGAAAATGTGCAGTGACAATAATTGTGGCTTAAGCACACATATGGCGATTCAGTGCATCTCACTAGTCATACTTCGATCATATTAACAGTGACACTGTGCTTGTTGAAAGGATTGCTTTACTACTCCCAAAGGAGAGCTATGGAAATATTTTTCAGAAACAATTTATCACAAACTCCCTTAAAAAAAACAACAACAACAATTGATTGTCCTTGTGTCTCTCTTGTGAAAAACCAACTCTAGTGTATTTATAATCATTAACATAAAAATATTCCCTATGGCATAGATGCATTTAGAAGACCTATATATCTGTATTGTATTTAAAAACATAAACATGTGTTGGAAATAAGATGTCACTCCTCAACTTTTTAAATTGAAGTGTATGAGGACAAGATGAATTTTTAAATATTTTTAAAACATGTTTTTTAAAATTTTTCCCCTAGAGGTAGAGAAATGTGATAGGTAGAAAACTTGTAAGAAAGGTGGACACCTATAATAGTCCCATCTATCTTTCAAATAGCAGCTCAAATATCAATTTTCTCTTCCATAAGCTTCAAACGATATCTCCCTCATTGATTTTGCTCTGTAACTCTGTGCTCTTCTCAAACATTCCTCACATTCTGCCTTGCCTCTATGCCATCTTGAATGGCACATCCACATGTTCTTGAGAACAGAGACAATGGTGCACCAGACCATCCTCATCTTTTATAGTGCTTAGAATAATTCCCAGGTAAAGAGTATATTTCTTTAAGGTAAATGTATAGGCCCTCCCGTTGATCGTCGATTTGCTCGAGCGGGCCCAGTAACGTCTCCATTGGAGACTTTGTTGTTACTGTGTTTGGCATATCGAATACTCTCGGTAGCTTGCAGGGCTCTCCGAGAGGGGCAGAGGAATCGAACTCGGGTCGGCCATGTTGGCCACTTGTAAGGCGAACGCCCTACCGCTGTGCTATCGCTCCATGCTTTGGACTAATCAGCGAGAATCATGACATCTTAGAACTTCATTTTGGAATGGTTTCAGTAGCTGTTTATAATGACCCATTCAAGTGTTCCTATGAATGGGCTTTCCAGCATTCCTATGGAGTGCTTAGGCACCTTAGGCATATAATGTCACATCTGTAGGTATTGGTGATGAGTACTTACCACGTATATATACACACAGTATATATATATATATGTGGATTATATATGTGTGTATGTTGTGTATACACACACACATATATATAGTCCATTTATTCTTCTACATGTCTACTCCTCCATCCATTGGTTGCTATTGGTTATCCATGCACCAATCTAGCATCCATTCATAATCTGCTAATCCACTCATCCAATTTTCCTTCAATAGTACTTCATATTAGTGATGCTATTAACATTAAGCACTGCAAGTTTTCGATACAGTCTAACCCCAGTATTTTTCTTTAATAATCTGATAATCTCTACTAGAATATCTACAATTTGTTTTTCTTTCACATGGCCATTTTACCATCTTATAGAATAATTGATGTCCATTTATATATGTTACTTAAATGTAACTTTGGTAGTATCATGTACTACTTTAATTAAAAAAATATGAATCTATATATTGGGGCCAAGCCTCACACATGAGTGAAGTCCCATGAAACCCAGGTAATGCAGGACTTTGTGACCTTAGACTCTGGGCTCAATGGGACCCGGGAGGAGAAATCCTCTGCCTGCTTCCCCCAATCTCAGGTGACCCAGGAGTCACTCCCATAAGCCATCTCCTGTGGGCACCAGATAATCTCCTCACTGGTCACTCTCCAGAATTCATGGCTGCTCCTCCCGGAAGGAAACATGAAATGAGGCCCCCATAACCATGCCACCAGACTCCACGCCAGGCTATTTTCACTCAGGGCACCCCAAAAGGGGACAGGTGAGAGCCCTCCCTGCCTCAAGGGACCCAGTCCCTGTAGCCAACCTCCACAACCCAACCGCCACCACGCTCCAGGGCACTTTCCACAAGTTTGGGCTGAGTGTCACACATGAGTGAACATATTACTAGACCACACAGCTACAAAAGCTGCCATCATAAGACACTCCCTACTCATTTTCCATAATTACCACACCATATATGATGGGGTATAGACAGTAGGCAACAGATCATAGAGAGAAATGTATATATATATATAAAATGTTTATATATATATATATGACTGGGAACACCTGTAAAGGCGATTAGAGACCGAGAGTATCCTGTCCCCTGTCCTTGAAAGAACCCCCAATACACCATCAGGCTACTCTAGCACATGACAAGGATGAATGCAGGTGTTACTGGCACCTGCTCAAGCAAATCGATGATGGGATGACAGTGACAGTGACAATGATATATTGTATTTCCAATTTATATTGGTATTTATGTTGACATATTTATATATTGGCATAATTTTGTAGCTACCTCAGTTCCTTTTAAATTGATAAATAAGGTAAGGTAAAGGTAAAGGCTCTCCCGTTGATCGTCGATTTGCTCGAGCGGGCCCAGTAACGTCTCCATTGGAGACTTTGTTGTTACTGTGTTTGGCATATCAAATACTCTCGGTAGCTTGCCGGGCTCTCCGAGAGGGGCTGAGGAATCGAACTTGGGTCGGCCATGTTGGCCGCTTGTAAGGCGAACGCCCTACTGCTGTGCTATCGCTCCAGCCCCAACAAGTATTGATAAATACTTGTTTTATATTAATAAAATATATTTTTCTTAGCCTTAGAATGAATTTTTCTTTGAGATATAGAACATAATATACAACATACAATTACATTTTTTCACAATTTTTAATTCTGCAGAAGACTTACCAGTTCTGTGTTGCTTGGGTTGATGACTGACACCACTATATTCTACAAGAGTACTTTTATTAAAAGTTGCCTCAGATACCAGCTGAAAAGTGATATTACTATAACATATTCCTGGAAGCCAGTGATTAAATACTGTTTTTCCCTTAAAGAAATCTGAGAAGATAAAAATATATTAAAATTTTGATCTCCTAAATGCTGCACACTTCTAAGAAGCTATAAACAATTATGATTAAGTATCTGGAAACAATATTTTCTTCAACTTCTGGTATGGTCAATACTAAAATATTGATAGGAGGCTTGAGATAATATTTGAATCTTTAGACTTAATCCTGAAAGGTTTATAATTCAAAAAATGCTGAGAAGATCTAATGCAATTTGGAGTTAAGTCTTTACTATCAGAACATTTGGTGTACTGTCTGAAAAAGATAACATAGAAATTGGGGAGATTTGAGTTAAGCTAGCCTAGTTTAAAATGAAATTCTAGGGTATTTTACTGCTTTATGATTTAAAAACAATTTTATAAATCTTTTTACTCGACCAATTGTAATAACTAACCTGCTTTATTTATTTATTTAGATTTGGATAAATTTATTAAGAAGTATGTCTTTCACAAATATTTAAAAAAATTGAACTATAGCATATTGGATCACATATATATGTATATATGTATTTTTTCTTTTTGTGTCATACCCAGCGATGCACAGGGGTTACTCCTGGCTCTTTGCTCAGGAATTACTCCTGCTGGTGCTCAGGGGACCATATAGGATGCTGGGAATCGAACCTGGGTCAGTTGCATGCAAGGCAAACCACCCTACCCATTGTTCTATCATTCCAGCCCCTGGATCTTATATTTTTAAATTTGTAGGATTCTAATAAAAATCTAGCCCGCTTTAGAAGTATAATGATTTATCTGCCAACTGGCAGGACTTATTAAAAAAAAAAGGAAAAGGAAAAAGGAAATAAAAATTTGGACTTTATTTGGAAAACATTAAAAAGCCCAGTAAACTTATAAATGTAATGCAAATTAGGAAGAAATAAGAAAAATCAGATAACTATAATACTTATTGAATTATAAGCCAAAATAATTTTAAAGAATAATTGACTTTAAAAAGCATAATAATAAATAATTGACTTTTTTTGTAAATTCATTATTTAAAAAATAATATTGAATTACTGAGAATTACAAAGTTTCAAAATTATTAATGATTGAATTTCAAAGGTGCAGTGTTCAGTCTCTGATCTCTCTCTTTACCAGTGTCCACTTCCGTCCACCAATGCTGCCAGTTTTTCTCCCAGACTCCCAGCCTGTGTCTGTGGCAGCACTTTTTTTTTCTTTTTTTCTTTCCTTTGGTAAAATTCATGACCTAACTCAACAAGATTTCCAGTGTTCATTTTACAATCACTTATGAATTTGTATTTGCATGTGATTAGTAAACAAATAAGGTCCTATTAATTAATCAGCGGGTAATGCTTTTATTGAAAATAAAAGAAGCAAAGCTTTGAGTCTATGCTCATTTAATTTTTAAAATGTGCGTTTCTGGGTGTGTGTGTGTGTGTGTGCAAGGACCTGAACCCAGAATTTGATGCATAAAAAGCATGTGTTCTCCCAATGAGCTATATCACCAGCTCCCAATTATTTATTTATTTATTTATTTTTTCTTTTTGGGTCATACCTGGCGATGCTCAGGGGTTACTCCTGGCTCTGCACTCAGGGATCACTCCTGGTGGTGCTTGGGGGACCCTATGGAATACTGGGAATCGAACCCGGGTTGGCCGTGTGCAAGGCAAACGCCCTACCTACTGTGCTATCCCTCCAGCCCCACCAGCTCCCAATTTTTTTTAAATTATAAAGATATTTACTATAAATTTACTATGTTTTTTATTTTAATGATTTATTGGGGTGTTAGGGGGTTAGAGACTTATGGATATCAAACCTAGGGCTTCCAGACATAAAATATGTACTTTAGTATTTTGAGTCAGTTTCCCAGCCATGACTATATATTTTAAATGATATTTCATTTTGTAAGGATTCATGCATCAAAGAAATTTTTAAAAGCAGTGCATCAAAGCAACATCTTTCTTGATACTGTAACTTAGGTGTTTCTGTATGATCCTCTACCTCACTGTATAAGTGCAGTTACAACCAGTCAAATTTACACCCATATTCATGTTCCTGAAGGAAATGTTATGGTGTTATATCCTGAAAATATTTCAATTTCTCTACTTCAGTTCACTCTTCTACAGCTGAATGCCTTCTCCATCATCTCTCTCTCTCTCTCTCTCTCTCTCTCTCTCTCTCTCTCTCTCTCTCTCTCTCCCTCTCCCTCTCCCACACCTCCCAGTCCTCCTCCACTTCTCCAGATAGCCTGCCAGAGAAGCTGATTGGATTCTTTTGAAATATTAATTCTTTTGGTTCTCTACTCTCTGAGCCCCAACCCCTCCAATTCCTACGAAATCTGTATAAACAATAAAACCTATTTTCATATTTTAAGTAGTTTGGCTGGTATACATGAAAGAATTAAAGAAATCCTTTTTATTTTTCTTTTTTCTTGTTTTTGGGAGCAATCTTGGACCATCTCTGAATGAAACTTGGCAAAAAGTTTCCCCGGAGCTTCCCATTCTAGAATTGCTCTTCTAACACACCCAGAAAGAAATAGTTGGGAAAGATGCTTTCAACTTAAATCTTGAGTTTTTATTTTTTGTTTGATTTTTTTTGAGGGAATGCAGAGCCTCACCCATTGGTGCTCAGGGCTTACTCCTAGTTCTGTGCTCAGGAATCAGTCCTGGTGGGTCTCAGGGGATAATCTGGGGTGCTGGAGATTGAACCCGGGTATGCCCCATGGAAGACAAGAGCTCTATCCACTGTACTATTGCTGTGACCCAAGTCTGAAATTACTAACAAATTATTGCACCAGATATTCTACCTTGGCAAAAACTACTAATAAGTGAAATGTTTGAGTGTTTCTTGTGTGTATGAATGGCCTACAACTTCAGCCTAATAAAACATATATACATAGACTCCCCAAACAATATTTCCATGAACCAGTAACTATTTTGGTGTTAATCTGTGGATAAAATAATATAATGAATTTTAACGCTTCTCTGGATGTAAAAATTGAGACCATCTGGCTAAAAGTCATGTTGAATATGAAAGTCATCATTTCTTCCACCTCCCTTTTACCCCTTACCTTTATATAGCATTGTCCGGAAGTCTTTACCTTCCCAATAGCTTATGTTTACTCTTGTGAAAACATTATATTTTTCTGGGTAATGAATTTCAAACAGGACTCCTGTTTCAGGGGAAGGTTTATAGTCATATATTGAAACACTGGTTACAGGTAAAGGTTCTGCAAAAAGAGAATGGGGGGAACAGTGAAAAACTATCAATGCTTAGGAGTACCAGTGCTTACACCGATCACAACCTAACACGTATTGTTATTATTTGGGGCAAGTGCTAAATTCAGTACTCGAGAGTCTTACCCTTTGCAATAATTACAAAATTACATTTAATAGGGTGTTTTTGTCTTTCAAAAAACTTTTTTGGTTTGCTGTTTGCAGTAACTTTGAGATTAAGAACAAATATTGATATCACCATTCAACAGATAAAAGTAATATATGACTTTAAATTACTATCGAGAGGCAATTTAATATGGTGAGTGTGTATATCTCCAGAGTCCTTGTTTTAACCATATTGAGGTATCATGATTTATAATACTGCTAATTCTCCTTTTCATGCATACACTGTTACAACACCACACCCATCACCAGAGGGCCACTTTTATCTATCAGTGTCTGAAGGACCTCTTTTATTCTTCCTCTCCCAAGTAAGCTTATTTCTGAAAAACAGAAAATCTCGAGTTTTGATGTCTTTGGTTATTTGCTTTCCATTTACTATTTCCAACATTTGAGAGTGATTTTTTTTTTGATTGTGGAGAGGGTGACACACACACTTATAGGTGAATAAAACTACCTCCCTGAAATTCCACAAAAATGTAAATCAATGATAAATTATAATTTTTTTAAAAACTGTCTTTTTTATAGGCATAAAAATTTTAAAAATGAATAGTATAAATAATTATAAGATAATATATTTTAGAATTCATGTAAAATAGATAAATCATACAAATAAAATTTAGTAAGAGTGAGGAGAGGAGAATTAAAAATATTTAAAGGAAAATCTAAATATAAAAGTATAAACTTTTTTTAATCTTAAAAAGGGAATACTATGTTAGAAAATATATTATAGAGAATGCCTAAGCATCCGTATTAATAAGTAAGACATTATAATAAAAATAATTTGATGCAAAAATTCACCTGAATAGGCATGGAAAATTCAATATAAGTGAAACATTAATTCAATATTGGAAAAATAAATATCATAAGCAAGATGAAAGTAAATAGACATTTCTTAAACTAGTTAGGGGCAAAAATGCCACAAGTGAATGTCATATTCAGCGGCAAAATGCCAAATGCCAAATCAATGTCAAAATGTCTTTTAACAAAGTTTTTAAAATGCTTTTTTTCAAAACTGGTTTTGAGGCTACAGATTCCCTAACCTGTTGGCTGTCCATAAAGCTTTCCAATGTTCTTTCAAATCTGAATGAAAATCTCACTGGGTAGAGTATTCTTGGTGAGGTGTTCACATCATTGAGTTTCTTTTATTATATCCCACCATTCTCTTTGCCTGTGCAGTCTTATTTGAAAGAGCTTCTGCAAATTTTATGGGAGACCCTTTGTATGTAAGTTTTTTTTTTTCTGATCTTGCTGCTTTCAGTACTCTGCCTTGGTCTCTTATCATTCCGAGTACAATGTGTCTTGGTGTTTTTCTACTTGGGCCTACTTTTTACTGAGACCTTTTTGGACCGCTTGGATCTGGATGACTGCATTTCTCGACTGAGAGCTCTGTATCTATGGTTTCTTTAGTGGTTCTTCACTAAATTTGTCTTTAAGGACTCCACTGATTTTTATTTTGTTCCTCTTGAATGCATCTCTTAGTTTTTCCGGTGTACTGTTTATTTATTTTCAATCTCTCCCCCCCCCCCCCCCGCCCATTTTCAGTTGCTTTCTAAAGATCCTGGAGCTTGACAATTTTTCCCTCAGATTTTGCCATTCTGCTACCTAGATGCTCTATTGAGTTGTTGCTCTCATCTACCATAGTCTTCATTTCCGTCACTTCTGACTACTTTTCTCATTTCTAGTCTCTTCTTGTGCATTGCTTGACTACCTATGCCATCATTTCTTTGAGCTCATTAAACAATCTCCACATGGTGTCACCAAGTCAGTTTCTGAGAGCTTGGTAGTGATAGAACCTTTCTTTGCTATTATTGTCATTCATTGAGCTTGTGGACGTCTATGTGTTCTTCCCATTGTGTTTCCTTATGCTCTGAGATTAAATATTTCTAGTTAGCCCCCATGGGGAGTCTCTCAGGATTAGACTCTGTTGCTCTTTTTCCTTTCCTTTCCAGTCTTCATCTAGTGACAGGAGTGTTACTGTGACGAAAGTGCATAGTATGACAAGTGTTGTGGAACTATCACAGCTCCATGGTTCAGGATACATCAACCAGTGAAGGCAGTGAACAGAGAGTCTGAGACAGGGAGGTGGGCTGCTCAGAGGGTGGAGGTCTGCATGGAGGCTGCCAGGACCCACTCAGGAGGGGAATCCAGGTGTCAGTTTCATAAAGGCTCCAGGCTTGTTCCTTTATTTACTTTCAGTACACAGTTTTTCCCAGAGTGATCATTTCCAACCATCACAGAGGCAGGCTGAACAGGTGGGGGGTGGCAGGAGGGAAAGTGGGGGACATTGGTGGTGGAAAATATACACTGGTAGAGCAATGGGTGTTAGAACATTGTATGAAACCCAGCCATGAACGACTTTATAACGGTATCTCATGGTGCACCGTAGCACTGTCTTCCCATTGTTCATCAATTTGCTCGAGCAGGCCCAGTAACGTCTCCATTGTGAGACTTGTTGTTACTGCACTTGGCACATTGAATACGTCACAGGTAGCTTGCCAGGCTCTGCCGTGTGGGCGAGATACTCTCGGTAGCTTGCGGGGCTCTCCGAGAGGGATGGAGGAATTGAACCCAGCTTGGCTGGGCCAGCGACTTGCAAAGCAAATGCCCTACTGCTGTGCTATCACTCCAACCCTTCTCATGGTGATTCAATAAAAATAAATTAATTTAAAAAAATAAATGAAATATAATACTAAAAATACCAAAAATAAAAAATGGCCCCAGGATGCCAGGTGAAAGGTTAGCCTCATCTGGAAGGTTGAATGAGCAGAGTGTCTGTGATGTGGATTTAGGGCTGCTGAGATGGTGGACATCAGGCCTCCAAATTCCATGTTTTAACTTTTATTTACCCAAGTCAAAAAAGATTTAATTTTACAACAACATACCTGGAACAGAAAATATGTTTTACCTCTGACAGTGCTCATGTGATCATTGTGTGTGTATGTGTGTGTGTGTGTGTGTGTGTGTGTGTGTGTGTGGTGCATGTTGTTCTGTTAAGAGACTATAAACCATCCCGTGCTTTGAGAAAGATAGCTTATAGCATCTATCAAATTATTTTCTATAGGACTCTAAAAGCCACTTACTTCTCCTTCACAAAAATTTCTAACTGCTCATTAAAGAAAAAACCAAAATGTGGTTGGTGTATATTTGTGTCTCTTACTCTGACCACTCCAGCTAATGATTTGAAATGACAGACCCACCCTCTGAAAGGGTTTTACTGATTCATTTTTCTTGATAAAATAAGTGTTTAAAATAATTTGGTCCAGATACAACTTTTGTCAGCAATTTTGATTCAAAATTTCACATTTGAAAGGACTTTTAGACTCCTACGTGAAAGTACAGTCTTAGCTAAAATGGCATGCTTTCTCATTTTTAGTTTCAGTTAATATATGAAACCAACATTTGATTACTCCTTTCAGTTAATAGTTGAGGTACCTACCACTGGCTAAGTATCTTTCAGTTCATTCCTTAGATTCCATACCTAATTTTGCTTTTGAGTAAAGAAACCCAAATAGGAATAAAGTTGCTGGTAAAGCTTTGATCTTTCCTAGATTTTTCTCAAAGACTAAATGAATACCTCTCAAGTGTCCTACCTGCTATACTATAGCTTCTGCCCCAGTACCTTAATTTTCAAGCAACAATTTTCATTTGTCATCTTAGCATAAAGAAGCCATTCTTCTTTCTCAAGTGTGTGAAATATATTGGAGAGCCTCAATTATTTAAGTATTTATAGATGAGTAAGAAGAGGCTGCTAAAATCTCAGAGCTGGAAGGAATACAGATGTTACTGGCACCCGCTCGAGTAATTCTACCATCAATGGGATGACAGTGATACAGTGACAGTGAATAGACATTAGAGCCTAAGAGTGAGCAAACTCTGAAACTGTCCAAGAGACATATTTGTTTTGATTTTATGTCTTGACATCTTTGGCATTCTTTTTCATCTTCACCAGAAAGCACTAGAACAATTGCAGAGAAATAGCCAAGGATACCTCCAGGGTTGATGGCTGTGTCACTACTCATTTCATCAGTACTGGCATCTAATGCAAAACCAAGGACTCCAACAAATGTGCTCTTTTATTTTTGAGAACAATAAGAGCATTCTGGGAGTAGATACTGCAAATGCTTTCCAAGGTTTCAAAAACAGCTTTCCATTAAGGAAAGAAAAGTGCATCATTCACTGACACACTAGAATTTCCAACATTAGAGCTAAAAATGTATTTTGAGTCAGCGTGCTCTTCAATTCCCTCTTATTTCTTAAAAGAGAGGAAGCTGAAACCTAAATGTCACCTCACACTTAATGTCCCCAATATTTGTGCAATTATCTCTGGTCCTTGTGTTCATATCCAATTATTGCTTTCAAAATCCATGATCAAGTAATTGAGTCTTCAAAAATGGAATGGAAGGCAAGAGACCAAAGAAATCATAAATTAGATTTTTTTTCTCTTAAGAAATCAATGCAAGTTTTTTTTAATTTTTTCCCATTTAAGATATAAAAAGCTTCAAGGCAGAGCTACTCCCCACTCAAAGAAAAGGCTGAATCATCCCCAGAGGGACCAGCCCCTCTGCAGAGCAAAGGACACATCGACTGTTTGACTGTTAGCTGCAGGGAGAGGAGGGCCCCATGGAAAGAGAAGAAAAGGATGCAACTATGATTTTGATGGATTCAGAAAGTCCAGTTTAGAATGGTTCTGTCTTCTAACTACTTGTGGTACATAGATTAAATTCAAAGTGCATAAAAAATGAAATAAAACTGAAACCCAAGTGGACAATGTACTGAACAATGCAGATGTAGAACAACATATAAAAGTCCCAAGCCACTGGTTCAAGAGAGCTGGAGTTCCAGGCGTAGGGGTAACCCACCCCGTTCCTCTGTCTCTGCTTCTGGGCCTCATCAGGTGCTCATCAGAAGCAAGGAGGCAAGGAAGAGCCCAGTTATGCATGAAATAATTGGTATCTCTCAGTGACTTGGAGAATAGTCACTCACTCCCTTGGGTCATTCTTAAATATAAATCAGAAGCGTTAGGCCCTGGTAAGAGTCAGAGAAGTGTTTCCTCCCAGTTCTTAAGCCAAGACATTCCCAGCCCCTTTTTGAGGGAGGTGGTCGAAATAACAACTGCTGTTCCTGGGAGTAGACAAGAAACTCCCTTGCACATTTAATAAGACACGAAAACAAAGCCGAAATGAGCTACTACGAGGCAGAGGCAGGAAGATCTCAGGTTTTCCACAGTTGAAGGCTAGCATTTACCTTGTAGAGTAGAGAAAAAGGCAGCAATTGTGGGGATGTCCCACTAAGGAACATAGGGTTGCATAAATCTGATGCTGGACCTGGGAAAAAGCCCTGCCACCCCTATCTTTACCCAACCTGTGCTAGTGCACAGCACATTCTGGAGGGCATTCAGTTTTTGCTAAACTCTGCAGGTATTGGGAAGACTCAGGAATTCCACTGTTCTACCACTGTTACCACTGTTGGCACATTACTGGTAGAATTAAAATCTGCGAAGTAACTCACACCTTAAACACAGCTTCACTACAGAACAGACTAGATTGACTCCACACCCCTCCCCCAGGCCTCCTGCAGTCTAGCAATATGGCAAATTGAAATTAAATCCAACCACATAAATAACTACATGAAGTAGAAATGACAGGAGCTTGCATTTTCATAATTGTCTATGTATTTCCATAATTGTCTGTGCTGTCTCCCAGAAACCCACTTAAATAGGAAGACATAGGTAGGCTGAAAGTAAAAGGGTGAAATAAGAATAGTAAGAAAATACTTAGCCAAAGAAGACGGGAAAGCTTATATTGCTATCAGACAAACAAAACTACAGTACGAAGCATATGGGTGGGATAAAGAGGAACTTTGCATGGGGAAAATAAGCAGGTCACTGAGAAGACAGAAACCTTAAGATAATTTGTACCTAATGGTGCAACAACATGAATTCAAAACAGGCAAAGCATGAATGAACAGAAACAGAGGTATCTACTTACAGGTAGAGAATTAGACACATGGGTACCAATCAGTGTTAGAACCAGTTGGTTGAAAATCAGGTCAGATGTGGCAATCACACTTGTACAATGAGCTAATGAGGCATGGAACCTCACCCGTCATATGTGCACACATGAAAGCCCATGGAAAGAGAACACAGTTGGGGCTACCAAACAATTTTGAAGCAACTGAAATCTACAAATTCTGTATTTTCATGACTATGGCACTTTACCTAGACATCAATAACAAAAATGATCTCTGCCAAATTACCACATTTTGGGGCCTCTGGCCACACACTGCTAATCCCACATGTTACAAAAGAAAGAACATATATTTTCAATATTTTAAAAGTTTTGAAGCTCACAGCCTATGCTTAAATATCCAGGAGATGTTCTAGAAACTGTTGAGCATTTGTTTACTTACCAAATTCTTTCCGATTCATTAGCTAAAAGGGCTGAGTCTTGCAGTTTTGTCTGGGGGGGGGAGGGACTAATAATAATAATGAGTGTGGAGTCAGCACTGTTTATCATAGTTTTATTTGGTTTTGCATCTTGACCTCCTCCTCCCTCCTTCTGGCTATTTATTCTGTTACTTGCTCACCTTAATTGAAAAAATATTTATCGATCACCTATTAATTAATTGTAAGGTTCATGCTGGGTGCTTATGAAATTAGGAAGGTGAGTAAAACAGTTTCTAGTTTCAAGGAGTCGTATCAATATAGTCATTCTATGTCTCGATCTGTGGCTTGGATCGAAAACTCCCCAATTCTTTTCTTTCTAAAACTTGTTCAAATAGCATTTTTCCACGTGACTTCTTTTACTTCAAGAGGTCCTAGATACGTGTTCATTATGTCCACAAACCTTAAAGGTTTTGGGTCTGTGCCATTTATAATTTTTAGGACTCAATACTTATTGTGGAACTCAGCCAAGAGAAACTTTAATTAATTTGACATATGTGATAAAAAAAAATGTGTCCTTTAGCTTGATTCCAGGTTCTTGGTTCTTGGGGTTTCTCTTTTCTTTTCATTGTGATAAGGACATATCACAATGTACTTTTCCGTAATTATAGTTAGCATGATCACACATAGCTGGCATTTTAAAATGTGAAGCCACTGAAAAAATTGCACCAAAGAGAAATGAGTAAAAAGAACTTTGCTGAGACATTGAATTTTTCTAGTAATAAAATATATCACTTTTAAGATAACAATTTTCCTTCCTTACCACAACATAAAAAATAGTCACATCTCACTATTAGATTAGGTATTAAAGTCAGAGAATAAAGTAAAAGTTATGGTTAGTTAAAATTACTCCTAAAAAAATTTCAGGAGTCAGCATTAACCCTTTAAGGCAGGAAATACTGAAAGTTCAAATGCCACTGTTTTGTTTTATTTTATTAAACAGGCATTTCTCTTGGGCAGAACCCAGAGGTGTTTTGGGGGTGAGACAGGGAATAGCAAATGATCATGAAATTTTTTTTCTCTTAGATAAAAAAATGTATAATTGATAAGACAAAACCAAATTAAAACAAAAAAACAGGGCCTGAGAGATAGTACAGCAGGCAAGGTGCCTGCCTCGCATGCAGCTGACTTGAGTTTGATCCCTCTGCACCCTATATGGTCCCTTGAACACACAAGAATGATCCCTGAGCACATAGAGAGGAGTAAGCCCTGAGCACAGCTGGGTGTGACCCAAAAACAAGAACAAAAATATATGGCTGAATTTGAGCAGTCTGAATAGTGACTATAAATTCTTGGTATGAAAACCAAATCTCTAAATATGAGAATGCGTTCTGAAAAAATGCAGGCTTAGTTATTATCAGCCTGTAAATTTACAGAACAGAAAATTATGTAGTTCACTCATGAGTCTAACTTGTCAGTCTCAAATTATACAACCTGACTGATATTGTTGAACAAAAGAGTTTTGCTATAGTTAAACATGGAATGTTGACAACATATTGTTTTTATTATGTGTAGCAGAACTTTGAATCTGTGTCACTTGACTTCATGGCAGTTTGTCTTGCTATTTTATGTGGAAGGAACATCTTCAGTGAGAACCACAAGGAACACACCCAAAGAAGGAACAGAGAGGACAAGATTATGCATGATGCTTACTTGTCAGCACAGTGATGGATCGGGATGGCTTGGTGACCACATTTCCATTCACCACGACCAGAGTGATGATATAATAGAGGCCGTGATAATTGGCCTTAAAAATAACAGGAGGAGGCAAAGTTCTGTTGAATTCCTCAAATTCAAAGAAGTAATTTTTTGATTCACCCGTTATCTTCACAACATATACAGAAGATGGGTTCATGACATCAGAAGCTTCTAAAGAGACAACGATGTTATTGTCATCTTGAACAGTTACTTGGAATGTCGCAGCATTCTGTTTAAAAAAAAGAGAGAAAAAAGGAAATGGAGGTCAAATTCAGATCCTTAGCAGTAAGATCGTGCTGTGATCATTTTTTCCCCAAACTGAAGTTTGTGATAAGTATTTTCATAAAATAGATCTATTTTAGTTACACAAGACAGAGACGAAGACAGACAGACCATACAGAGCCAGATCCAGAGCTCAAGCAAGATAGAGAAAAAGAGAGAGAGTGTGTGTGTGGGAGAGAGAGACAGAGAGAGAGAGAGAGAGAGAGAGAGAGAGAAAGAGACAGATACAAAGACAGAGAGAGACAGAGAGACAGAATGTGACAGAGAAAATTTCTTAAGATTCATGATCTTTCCAAAGTTTTACTTTGAGGATTCTTCTCCATCAAAGAAGATGATTCTAGTTCATGGGTTATGTTATAAACCATGAATAAACACAGAATAAATACTGTGCACATAAATAAAGAACAAACAAAAGGAAATCAACTTGGAAATTCAGTCCCAGAGAAATCTTGGTCCTAGCAGTGCTGAAGGATTTTCCTGGTGGGAAGAAGCATTTTATTTTACGTTCGAAGGAGGAATGCTGTGGTGTTCCTAAAACATTCTAGAAGAATATTCCAAGACAATTTCCCCCTCTCTCATTTCTCACCTGCCAGTCCTAAAGTAAAACAACTCAAGACAGAGAAACCTGTGATAATTCTCTTCACTGACTGTCCGCAGACTGAGGAGATAGCTCAAAGGGCTGGAGCACACGCTGTTCCCGTGAGAGTCCCAGTTACAATTTCTAACCCTTCAGGTCCCCCAAGCAATGGTGGGAATTCATGGGTATAAGGACAAAACTGACTCCATGACAGGCAGCAGAAATGAGAAAAATCAGGGAGGCCTCAGTTCAGTTCCTGGAACTGAAACAGTTTCAGTTTCCCAGAAATCAATGTGTAACTAGCCAACTTGAACCCACCTGGAAAGTCCCTGGGCTCAGCAAGTGGGCCCAATCAATCACAATGTGCCAGAAACCATGGAGAATGTACCCAGCAACCACAAGCCTATCAGAGTCCAACACATGCTCTAGATGCTTGCCAAACACCCTTGTTTGGTAACTAAGATTTTCCTGAAACAATAAAGGCACTTACTGCTTGTGTAGTCAAAACCTATATAAACTGCTTGCTACTTGGAGTTGGGGTTTCTTTCAAGAGACCACTCTGTGGGTGAGATAGTTGACCCCAGTTAACTGGAATAAAACTCCTTTTGCTTTGCATTTTCTTATGTGTGTCTTCACTTGAGAATCCGTAAACCCGGGAATAACGTGGAAAGCCAACAACTGGTTGAGTGAAATCTCCCTGTCTTCATATCATTGTTTATCAATAGTCCTGAAAAATCACCAGTATAATTTGTTTTTCTCTTTCTTCCTGATCCGTTTCCAGACCCCAGAGGCTGAGATAGTGTTTCAGCTACCTGACTTACGCACTTTCGACCGCTGGATGCTGCTTTTATCTTCTGGGCATCAAGTATCCTGGTTATGTTCTTTTACTCTACTGAGCCCCAGATTTCACTTCAATGAAAGTGGGACCAAAAACTGTTGAAACTTGTTAAAGACTTTCAATGACCCAGATGCCATGGCAGGCAGTCTGGAAGCTGAATCATTTCATTTACTTCTCAGATTGACCTCAGGAGTCCGGTGTTATTTTCTAAGTTTGTAACTGAGGAAACAGAGGTTTGGAGAGATGAGCTCCTTTGCTCAAGGTGGCGAGGCCTCTAGTTTGGGCTCCTTACCAGTGACCCACTTAAGTGCCACCACAGAGTATTGGAATCCCTGCTGGCCCTGCACCGGAACTGCCTGGCTTGTACCACCCAATTGAGGTCTAGGAAATAGGATTAATGCTAGTACCAGTCATGAAGCAAGCATTTTCCCAGGTGCCCCTACATTATACCCAGGAAATCAGGGCAGGTTAATTTGTCAGGGCACCAATAAGAAGGCAGTCGAGGTTTGAGTGGATCTCAGCAGATCACCTGTGTGAAAAGTCATCTATGCAATTTCTTTTCTCTTGGATCCATCGTCTCCTGGAATCTAGATTTAGGAGAAAGTTTAGGAGAAAGTTCAGGATGTCTGCTGCAGGTATGGCATTTCTGCTAAGTAGCAGATCAAGAGAGAAAAGTTACAAATAATAAAAATGGATCTGGTACACTTAGTTAAGGCCACCACTGATGTACTTAGCAGGAAATTCAGGAAAATTTTTTTTTTCCTCCCTCTGGAAACCAGTGAATGATGTAGGTGACCTTGCAGTGAAAATGTTTTCAGTGAAATTTCCTTTGCTGATGAAGTTTAATATAGAAAGTTCTCTGGTCCAACACCCTCATTTCACAGTGGAGAGGAAAGTGGTGCAAATGTCACACAGAGCTAATTGATGTCAGGGGAAGATCTAGGATCCTCATGATCTATGCCTCTGGGTGTTTCTCTGTCCTGCCCTGAGATAGAGGTTCAGGTACTTAGCTGCAAGGAAGTGGGGGTCGCCTGTTCCTAGCCAGTGCTGGGGGAGAGAAGTTACTTAGAGACACAAGAATTAGTGCTAAAAAGGAAGAACACAGGACTTATTTCTAGTGTATGAGAAGGAGGAGTTATGCACATCAACAGCCCATCATAAATCTCAGAGACTTCTGCTGCCTCCAAAAATACATCAACTATTACCTATTATTTTTCAAATCTGGGACAGGCTTTATCTGGGAATGTTATGTAATGTTTTCCCTTTTATCCGTTTCACCAGTCCAGAAAAATAAGTTCTATTATTCTGAGAGGCTGAACTCATATGTCTTTTATGCAGCTTCTTACTTTGGACTTGATCTCTCCCACTCCCGATCTTTCCCTTTCTTATTCCTCATTAGAGGCTTGGAGTAGTTCAGTGATGCATAGCGTTTTGGCGAGGATTAAATATTTTTTTCCTAAAAATACAAGATGTATGAAATCCATAAATACTGCTTGTATTGCAAAGGTGTTTAGTTGTTCTTAAACATTTAATGACCTTTAAGTTTATAGCCTCTGTAAACATTCACTGAGCTTAAGTGCCCATATTCACTGGTTGTTTTAACCATGGGGCATCAGAAAATCAGGCGTTCATTAATTCAACAATGACCACACTTTAGCTCAGTGCTAACTTTGTGCCAGAGATAACGAGAAGTGTTGTCAGGACAAGTGGTAAGACAGGGCACCTGAATGACAAGACTTCAAACTTGAGGTTAAGTGAAAGATTCAAACACACAATTGTAATGTAGCCTGAGTATTACAGATGTGAAAATCAGTTCAGTTCATCCCTTGTGCTTTTTCTGCCTATCTATAATTCCTTTCTTAGCTAGCCCCTCCAGATCTGAATCACTGCTTTTATCCACACAATCAAGCCCCTTTTGGGTCTTGGTGGGGGGGCACTAATTAGGGAACCATACTTCTGGGTGGAGTAGGAAGTATCTTGACTCTCTCTGGGTAAATTCCAGTATCTGGTTGCCTCTCCATGAGGAATTTTAAGGGAAACACTTGTGGATCAAGTCAGCCAATCAAAATTGTATCCTATAAATGTTTAGACTAGGAACTTGTGGGAAGGAATGCTTTTGTCTTGATTTTCAAGAATAGATGAACTAACACAAAGCTGGAGATGTCTGAGTCTGTAAACACTGCCCTGTGAAGATAGTCCTTGAGGGAGAGGCTCTGGTCTTGGTGTCCCAATGACCAGACTTTGCATTTGGGTAACATTAGTGAATAAATTCCAGCTTGTTTAAGCAGGTCTTCAACACTTTGAACCAAAGGTCATGGTTAATACAAGAGAACTAACTGTTCAGTGTTCAGACACATAGAAAATGGAGCAGCTAGTTCTATGTCTGTAGGTGGAGAGGAGGGAAGATGTCAGGGTTCAAATGATGCTGAATCATGGAAGCAAAAGCCCTTTAGGATGGCATTTATAAATGGAAGAAAAATATGTTCCGAGATACTATGGGATATATGAGAAAATAATAGGAGTCTCATTATAACATTTTATAAATATTTACAGATACATTTTCTCATCGGATCCAAAAATCTCCCATTCAGTTGTCTCAAGTCATTGATGAAAACAATAAATAATAAGAAATGAGAGGGTTTCTGAAGTTTGTTCTATTTTGCAAGTGGAGGGGGGTTCTGGGACTCAAAGGAATGATTTAACTCCATAGTTTCTGTTAGTCTGAAGTCACAAGATGTGGAGATTCTGGAACCAAAAATGGTTCTCCAAATGCTACCTTTATGCTCATCCTTAACTGATGGTGAACTCGCTCAACACAAATCTTCACTTAATCTCCTAGATGCTCCAGAAGAATGGAGCATGAAAAAAAGAAGAAAAGAAAATCTGAAAATTTCAAGTCAGGCAGATCCCTGAGTTCAGATCCCGCTTAAGTCATTGTCTCTCATTTTCATTCTTTGAGCCTCAGCTGCTTCAAGTACATTATGGGAGTACCAAAACTTTATAGTCATTAGGCTTTTATGGAGGGACTAAGAATATAAGGTATTTTATTTACCCCCCACCCCCAGGACCACTATTTAGAATCTCCGCCAGAAAACAAGAGTGAATTGCTACTGCAGATGTAGGATCCTTGCCATCTTGTTGATTTTTCTTTGTGTAAGTTTCAGAAGTTGTTTCTCTTTGGGCCACTAGTACCAAGATTTATATAAAGTTCAATAACCACTTGGACTCTCAGTTTGTCTACTCATCATCAGTGCTCTGCTTCTCCTTTCTGGGGCCTCGTGAATGAGAGCTGGGGACTTTGTTTTTCTATGGTGTCTGTGTGTGACAGCCTGTGCTAACCTGCTAAGCTGATGGTTACCATGGGAACGGTTGGGGTCCCACTGTGCTGAGCAGTTGGAAGAAGTACAAAACAGTGCAGGTGATGACTGGCTCAGGAGGAAGTGGCCCCAAACCAGCATCAGGCACAAAATCCATGCGTTCTCAATAGCACAATGAACAGATGAATTTGAAAAGCAAGTCACTTTCTTCTGAC